TCCTGTTCGTACTAAAGAAGGATAGTAGCCTACGCCTATATATCGACTATCGTAGGCTCAATGCTGTTACTATTAAAGACCGCTGTCCACTTCCGCTTATTAATAAGACCCTCGACCGCCTTTCTAGTGCCTACTACTACACTATACTAGACATTAAGGATGCATACTATCGCATTCGTATTCGCAAGGGCGATAAATGGAAGATAGCCTTTCGTACTCGCTATAGCTATTTTAAGTACTTAGTTATGCTATTTAGGCTAGCTAATGCCCCTGCTACATTCTAGTCCTATATTAATCGGGCCCTGTTAGGCCTATTAGATCACCTCTATGTAGTTTACCTAGATAACATCCTAGTTTATATACACTCTCCTAACATTGCGGAACACTAGGCTGCAGTCCGTAAGGTACTCGATCGCCTAAGGGCCTATAGCTTGTATTGCAAGCCTTCTAAATGCACCTTTGCTGCTAAAGAGGTATTATTCCTCGGCTTCCTCGTGTTAACTAAGGGTATTAAGGCTAATCCTAATCGGATTAAAACTATTACTAAATAGCCTGTTCCTACGTCAATTAAGGAGCTATAGTCGTTCCTCGGTTTTGCTAACTTCTATCGCCGATTTATTAAGGGCTATTTACGGCATGTAATGCCCCTAACTGAGCTTACTAAAACTAAGGCTAACCCGACTAGAGAGTTTAAATAGACTAACAAGGCGCGAGCCGCTTTTAACGGTTTGAAGCAGCGCTTTACTAAAGTCCCCTTGTTATACCATTTCGTACTAAGTAAACAGATCCGCATTAAGACTAACGCTTTACAGTTTGCTGTATTAGCTATTATGTTACAATAGGCTAATAACAATTACTAGTACCCGATTGCCTTCTTCTCGAGGAAGATAATTAATGCTAAGCGTCGCTACGAGACCTACGAGCAAGAGCTCTTAGCTATTATTGAGGCCTTTAAGCATTAGAGGCATTACCTCGATAGGGCCTAATATACGATACAGGTCTATATAGACTATAACAACCTCCGTAGCATCACTAAGGTTACTAGAGTTATAGGTCGACAGGCTAGATAGGCCGTCTACCTCGCTAGGTTTGATTTTAATATATTATATCGGCTAGGCGTAAGTAACCCTACTAATAGCCTATCGAGGCGACCTAATTACAACAGCGGGACTTAGCAATCCATCAATTCATTGTTTCCAACCCTATAGTATAAGATTGCTATAGCCCGTGTTGTTAATAAGCAAGCGCAGGATAAGCGGCTTACCGGACTCCGCGACGGCTTGAAGCATGTTAATGCTCTTGCTATATTAATAGTGCGTATTAAGGCAAAGGCTAAGGATATAGATAGGAGAAGTTATAATAACTCCCTAGTCGATATCGCTATATATAGTAACAGCGATCAAAGCACTAATGCAGTTAATCCGGCTGCTAGTGCTACTAGATGCATATAGTACGTACTACGCAAGATAGCGAGAGTGCTATTAAGCGAACTTATAGAAGGGGATAGACGAGCGTTTATAGATAAGCTGTTACATGCTTAGCAAAGGGACGCTTTTGCTGCTGCTCGTATAGATTAGCTTAGAAGTGGCCGTAAGACTAGATCTAGCAAGAATTGGTCGATCGATGCTAATAGCTATTTGCGCTATAAGGGCAGGCTCTATGTCCCTACCGAGCATTCGATCCGACAAGAGCTTCTCAAGCGACACTATAATAGTAAGCTTGCCGGTTACTATAGTATAGAGAGGTCGCACGAGTTACTATCGCGCATATACTACTAGCCAAATAGTAAGCGGGATATAAAGGACTACGTAAACACGTGTGCCGTATATTAACGAGTTAAAGCACTAAAGCACTTACTATTTAGCGAGTTGTCTTCACTCCCTGTTCTAAAGAAGCCATTTGCTAAGCTTATAATAGATTTCATTATAGGTCTCCCGCCTACTAAGCGTAGGGGCAGCAAGGATGTGTATAATGCTATCCTAGTTGTCGTAGATCGGTTCACTAAGGGCGCTCGTTATATTCCTGCCCGAAAGGATTAGACGGCTATTAACCTAGCTAAGTCGCTATAGAGCAACATCTTCTGTAGCTATTAGGGAACCCCTAAGGGGATAGTCTCCGATCGAGGCCCGATATTTACATCTTACTATTAGAGTGAGATTTGCCTATAGCTAAGACTTAAGCATCGCCTGTCTATAGCATTCTATCTATAAATAGATGGTTAGACCGAAAGGTAGAATGCTACGCTATAGTAGTACCTACGCAGCTATATCAATAAGAACCCTAATAACTAAGTCAACCTCCTACAACTAGCCGAATTCGTATACAACAACAGTGTCCACTTATCTACTAAGGTGTTACCTTACTTCGCTATAATAGGAAGCAACCCTACGCTGCTATAAGACCCCCTATCGCTCGAGGCCGAGCGCAAGGAAAGGGAAGCGTGTTAAGTACTAACACCTAAGACACTAGCGGCTATTAAGAGGGTTTAAAAGATGCGAGAGATTCACGCTAAGATAGCTAACAAACTAGCGAAGGCCTAGGCCTATTAGAAGGCCTATTACGACAAACACTATATACCGATAACCTTTAAGCAAGGCGACATAGTTATGCTAAGCACTAAGAACCTCCGCATCCGTAAGCACCTATCCCCTAATAGCAAAACAAGGCCTAAGCTCGCACTAAGATACATTAGTCCATTCTGCATTCGAGAAGTTAAGGGCTCCTCCGTATAGGCCTACTAGTTATAGCTCCTACTACACTACACTATCTATAACACCTTCTATATCTCCCTTCTTAAACTATACCACCACCGCGGAGACTCTAATAAAGAAGCCCCTACTAAACATAAAGACATACTGGCGGATAGTAAGGAACTGTAGTCTGTAGAACGTATTCTAAAGCACATAGCCCTCGTAATAATAAGAACAACCCTCGGAAGCGGACATAGCTAGGTCTTTTAAGAGTAGACGCAAAGAACTCGGTACGATATTACGTAGAGCGGAGGCAGGGCTATAATACCTCGTACGTCTACCTATTATAGTAGGGAAGACGCGCTCGTATTGTAATTAGTCGAAGGCCCTTAATTCTTGTAGATACATATTACTTTATAGTTTATTGTATATAGGGATAGCGCAGTTAGAGTTGGACATTGTATTAGAAGGTGAGGTTTAATATAGTTACATAATTAGGTAGTTAAGTGTTTAATTTAGCGCGGACTAAGCGGCTTATTAGACCTGCTAAGTTAGTAGCAATAGGGGTTAAGACTAGAACAAAGACCGGCTACGAGGGCGCGGCCTTTGGAAGGGAAGCGTATATTAGGGCTAAAGAGGCTATACGTGATTAGCATATAACTAGGCCGAGTAAAGCTAGGGTCTTGATGCCTTAGGCAGGGCTTGGTGCTTAGCGTTAGGCTAACTCTCCTGCCTTCCTCCCTCTCCTCCTAGATCTCTATCGAATACTAAACTAATTTACTACTACCCTATCTACCTGCTAACATAACCCTTCTTACATCCTTAGTATTCTGCCCTATAGCCGTCTAGCGCGTCCGACGCGTAAGCGTAAGCACGTATATCCTACTTATCCGCTGTCTCGTAGCGCCTTTATCTTCTAGCTAACTAGCGTAGCGCGCGTATACGAACTCGTTTAACCGCTCTTAAGCAAATATGTTTCTCCTAGCTCTTCCCTATCTTCCGGTTCCTTCCTACTACTCGGATCTGTCCTACGACTCTATATATCTCGCTTACTATCGTCCGTATATACGTACGCGTAGTTTAGTATAGTCCCGTCGTTCGTATATTAATATATAACGTATTATTCTACTATATACGGCCTCCGCGGGAGTCCCTAAGATATTACGTTATACGGCTAAGTAGGCGACTTAGGCGTCCTAGGCGACTTAGGCGTACTAGGCGTACTAGGCGTACTAGGCGTACTAGGCGTACTAGGCGACCTAGGCTAACTAGGCGACCTACTTCGCTAGGGGCCCCTACTACTAAGGCAACTCAAATCCGACATTACTTTATAGTATAGCGGCTAGCTTATAGGACTTGTCGGTACTTTCTAGGCAGCTACTATAATAATATCTTAATAAATATTAATTCGATTTCTATAAAAATTACACCGTTAGAACTGCGCGGGTCGGTTCTATTAAACGTGAAATTTTTATAGAAATCGACTACCTTTGAATTTAGTATTAGTAGGTATTAGCTAGTATTAGCTCTAACTTCGGCGGTTAATATCTTAATAAATATTAATCCGATTTCTATAAAAATTATACCGTTAGAACCGCGCGGGTCGGTTCTATTAAACGTGAAATTTTTATAGAAATCGAGCTATTAGCTCCTACTTTATAAGTATATAGAGAGTATTAGTTTCTATTCTATATATATCGGCTAGTTAGTCTAGTAGTATAATTCTTAACTATTAATAATTCTATTTCTCCCGGCTATACTACTTAATATAGTCCCCGCTATATAAAGGTATATATCTTAAAGGAGTTATAAGATCGATAGGGGTTAAGAGGTCGTAGGTTCGAGTTCTATACTAGCTATTTTTTTTATTTATATATAATTAATAGGAAATATACTTGTCGTAGGTTCGAGTCCTATACTAGTCCTATACTAGCTATTTTTTTTATTTATACGCAATTAATAGGAAATGTACTTAAATCTTGAATTAAATATTACTACTATTAAGCTAATACCCTAGCTAATAAGCTAAGAAATCCGGGGTAAGTTAAATTCCCCTTTAATCTTTGTTTCGATTGACGTTCTACGCTGAAATCCGGGGTAAGTCAAATTTCCCTTCAATCTTTGATTGCATATTACTTCTGCGAAATTTCTCAGCCAATCATTTCGGTCTTGGCGGACAACTTGGATTTTCGCGGGCGGTGGCCGCGGTGTCTAGATTGGCAGCTGCGCTGCCAATGACGCATGCTTCGGCGCAGAATGCGGCCCAGTCTGATTTCAACGCACGAAACAGCTTCTCCCTCTCCTTCCAACATGGCAGATAATAATCTCAAATCAAAGCCAGGCCATGCTCGACATGATACCGCCTTGATCCACGGACTGTCCTCAAGTGACGTTCAGAAATTGTCAGAATCATGCGTTGATGCAAAGTCCAAGGCGTACTGTGAGCGACGTGGCAATCCGATGATGATCCGTACTGATGAGCATCTCCAGGCCCGTACTCCCACTTTCGAGTTGGCTGTGCCGTCCTGTTGGCGAACGGAGATGTCATCCAAGGTGCCAACGTAGAGAATGCATCGTATCCAGTTGGCACATGTGCCGAACGTGTTGCCCTGGGCACTGCCGTGGTACAGGTAAGCTATGTCGAACTGGACTATGCCAGAGCTCTTCAGTAGTGACGGACATGTCCATCAGGGTGCGCAAAAGGGCGATTTTCGAGCATTAGCCGTTTCCAGCGACATTAGCCCGCCTGCGAGTCCATGTGGCATGTGCAGGCAATTCATCAGGGAGTTCTGCGAGGTATGTGAAATGCAGGCGATCAGGCATGACATGACTGACGGCGCCTCCTTGCTAGCCCAATACTCCTATATTGATGTATGACAAAGACGGCAAGTCCGTCGTCATGACTCTCGAGCAATTATTGCCAATGTCTTTTGGTCCCGAGAAGCTACTGCCGCCAGAGCAACTGCAGAATGGGTTGGTGCAATAGTGGGGGACGTGAATGACAACATCATTAGCCGTAGACTTCCCTGGGCAGAGCAGATCAGAATGCCTGGGTCGCGGACAGAAGTACAGACCATTCAGTGGTATGATATGCACTCCTCAGACTCGAGCTCGTTCGTTCAGGCCGAGATCGGCAAGCGCTGTTGACGGAGTTCGGTTGATGTCATCTCTCACACATGTTTCTGTCCCTTTGTTGCCATCTACTCGAGCTTGCTCACATTCTGGATACCTTAACCCCAAGACGTCCTCAAGATGCGACATACCATCAACAGGAGTTTGAGAAGCGCCGCGGGCGCGGGCGCGGGCGCGGCGCGAGAAGCCACGCGCATTGGACATCCAGGCACACCTTTCGTTTGCGCAAACTGTAGAACGGCAGCCTTACGAAGCACCAGAACGCGAGCACCGCCACCCTTCGACATTCCCGCCTGGCGCGCATTCTCTACAACCTCTTTCAGGCGGCAAGATGAGGCATCCCAAGTTCCCCAAAGTCACTACGACTTCTTCCCGCAGACCTTTCCGCAAGGTCCACCTCCCAAAACCTCTTTCTCGCCCGATTTGAAACAGCTGCGAAGAGAATTCCTCCAGCTGCAAGCCAAAGCGCATCCGGATCTCGCCCCACAAGACCAGAAGAGGCGCGCAGAGGCTTTGAGCATGCGCATCAACGAGGCTTACAAAACTTTACAAAGCCCACTTCGGAGAGCGCAATACCTCCTGTCGCAACAGGGCATAGATGTGGAGGACGAGACAGCGAAGTTGGATGATAATAGTTTGCTCATGGAAGTCATGGAAGCAAGAGAAGCCGTGGAAGAGGTTGAGGATGAGGAGCAGCTGGTTGATATCAGAGCTGAGAATAATGGGAGGATAGAAGACAGTGTTCGCGTCTTGGAGGATGCATTTCGAGATAATGATTTCGAGAAGGCTGCGAATGAGGCTATCAAGCTGAGGTATTGGGTCAATATTGAAGAGAGTATACAGGGTTGGGAGAAAGGGAAAGGTGGTGGCATTTTGCATCACTGAGGGCATCGACTCTTGACTCTTACGAGTTAGTCGAAGCTGGCTGCAATGTCGTGCCGCTAACTTACGGAAGAGCTTCGAGAGATTTCCAGTTTCAAGGTGTTTGCGAGAATGCGACAGCCTTACACGTTCGGCATCGACATACTCGCCGTTCTACTTATTGTCGGCTGCCTCCCCCGCCGCCTCATAGAGGCACCTTGGGCACTGGCAATCACCTCCCAAAGCACCACGCGCCCACTCCCTCCGTTCCTTGACAGGAAGATCGATGTCGCAGTAGTGGTTGAGCACCTCTTCATCCTTTTTGATACCGGCCTGAGCTTTCACTTGTCGTCCATCACGGCCTCTCCATGCCACTCTCTCGGTCTTGGCCCAAAACTTCATCGCGCCGCCCCATTCCCAACTCACATTTGGGTCGCAGCTGTGGTTTGCGAGACACCACATAGGATGTACAGCAGAGACTTCTGGGCCTCGTATGGCTCGACCTCCCAGTCCAGAGAGACGAGCCGATGCGGTGCCGCGAAACTTTGCATAAAGCGTGTTGAAGACCCAGACATCATATTGTGGATTCGCGAATATATCCACATCCATCTTCTCCAGCATATGGAACGGTAGACGTATGTTGTACTCGAAACTGAAAGGCAGCATCCGTGCCGAGAGGCAGGAGTCGGGAGATTTAAGATCTCGATAGCTTGGCAGATGGGCAGCAGGTGTTGGTGTGAAATCGCCCCAGATGTACTTGACGTCCAGTATCTCAAGCGGGTGCCATTCCTGGGTTTCAGCCATAGCCAATGCTCGTAGCAGAAGTAGCGAATATAGGGCATCTGCTGCCTCCGCAGGCTCAACGTCTTTGGAAATCGCATCGACGTCCTTGCCACAGAGCGCAGGGTGGTAAGAGTCCCGAGCATTTTCGAAGCACCAGTCGCTGCAGAATACGACATCGCACTCAGCGCAGACCACTGCCTCGGCCCACTCTTTGCTGCCTACTTCAGGAAGATCCGCACTGCATGCATCGCACAATGCATCCTGAAGCTTGTTATTCGCGGTCAAAAGCGATTTTTCATCGAGAATGACCTCGCCCGGTGCGATATCTGCCTTCGCGAAGACTCCAAGTTGCGTGACGGGTGACGCAGTATCTCCGGTGAGTGGGGGCAAATCAACTGCTCGCACTTCAAGCTTGCCAGAAACGTCGTTCATGAGCATGTTGATGTGTTCAAGCTCGGCAATTCGGTCAGGCTCACGATCGTTCCAAGGATATATTTCTCTTCGCACGAGACCGCCATCAGGTAGATCGTTGGGACGAGGCAAGGGCTCGGCAGTGGCAGTTTTCCTGAGCTTGGCGACCTCGGAGTATAGATCATGTTTAACCTCCAAAAGTTGTGGGTCTTCTGAATACAAAGTCAGGCCTTGCTGAATGTATGCATAAGTAGTTCGCAAGCAGTTGCAGAGCAGAAGACTGCGTGTCAGAAGTCGGTACCTGTTGACTGTCAGCTAATCGGGGAGTGCCTGACACGGATCTTTCAAACTAACATGATGAGACGGTAGTGAGTCTTGAGCCAGAGCGCAATCTCGACATCCAGAGCAGGGTCTAAGTCTGCATCTGAAGCATTCTGTAGCCCAGCGTCCATAGCATTACGAATGATCTTGATTCGTTCCTCAAGCGCCTGTCCTTGGATGGTAAATTTTAGCGAACCTGACGCCTCTTCATGATACTCCTCCGAATCATCATCCAATGCATCCGCGAGGAGAAGAGCCTTGTACGCGGATCCTGCCGCTAAATCGGGATATCCAAGGTCGAGATATTGAATTGCAATGAAGAGATACAGGGGAAGAGAGTAGGGATCTTGCGCAACATAAACAAGAGCCTCTTCCAGTCTCTCGAGACGGTTTGCTTTTGATACATTCTTCTGAGTTCAGAGATCAGCCTACCTGTCTTCGCTTGTCCTACAAGCATGTTCTGACGCACCTCTGGATAATTTTTGCTGGATCTGAGAGCCAAGATTCCGTCTACGACTTCCTTACGGAGGGGAGGCAGTGAAGGTGTGCGCTGGCTTTGCGGCAACGCCGCATTTGGAGATGGAAGCTTTGCGGCACCGAGATCTTGTGAATTCTTTTCAGCAGCTGTGTCTCGTTGCACGGAATCGCGAGACTTGGTTTTTTGCGACTCCGCGGCGAAGATCTTGTATGAGGCCAAAGTCTGGTTCAAGCGGTTCAAAGCTGTATCGACATTAGCGATAGAAGCTCTGTATTCCTCCATGATTGGCACCCTTATGCCACTGGCCTGTAACGTGATCCACCGCTTGCTTGTATCTGCCAAAAAAAATTCGATGTGAAGTCAGGACTTGGCAGTAGTCTCAGTGCACAGACCACTTAATCTATGCAGTCGCCCTCGAAGGGGAATGGCGATGGTTTGGCAGTCTATGCCCTGAGACTGACTAACTCGTGCGATCTGTCACCGAAAGACCCTCGAACTTTCTTTCGCTCTCGACACCAGCCTCGCCAAGACTTTCGATGACTGTGATGTGTTCTTCGATGCACTAAGCAAGAGCCGCGTTGCTAGAGCCACAACATGAAGCCATCCATGGATCGTATTGACCCAGAGCTCGGCAATTGATCGCGTAGAACTATTCGGCCGAGTGCCTTCCGCTCCATATTGCTTCGTCAACCCAGGCAAGATTCGGATGTCCAATGTTATCCTACCGCGAGCACTTTCTTCCCCGTCTCATGCTCGACATGACTCGATCGAATGTCACAGGATGATGACCGCGGAGCTCGATGCGCTGTATACGGCACGGCTATACCGGAAGCTCGCGACAGATGCCAGTCCTCGTCAGCAGGAGGAGCTAGGGGCCTGTCGTGTCCATAATCCAATCCAGCATATAATCCAAGCGATATTAACAATATTCAATATTATTGAATATTCTCGATAGGATTACGAGGCGTGTATTGTGTCTAACGGCTATTTAATAGCCCCTTTCTAAGTGCAATCTTCTTAATCGAATATAGACCTCCGCGGCTACCGGAGTAGCGCTTTTAGCATTAAATATAGCTTCCGAAGGGCTCTTCGATAAGATTAAGGACCGTACGTTGTAATTGAGGTTAAAGTTAGTATATAGAACGAGAATAGCGCGAGTCGACGCGTATATAGTAGCGGAGGCGCGTATTTTAAAGATTCGAGCGTAAGAGCGCTTTATATAGTATTCGTTTCTCGGTAGTATATAGAGGTCGAGGTTCTTACTATAATTATTAGCAATAATAGAGGCTCTCGACCGCTAGGCGATTATTAAGCGTAATATTATCTTTACCTTCGGAATACTAGCGATACTACTATAATAGATAGCCGTATATTAGCTACCTAGAGTGCGTACCCTCTATCTAGAAGATAGCAAAAGCGAGGCGGTTACTACTAGTCTATTAGAAGAAGGCGCTATACAAAGATTATATAAGTATACGCGCTTCTATCTAGATGCGTTTATATACCTATTTTAGCTTATATTACTATATCTACGGTATAGAAGGAGTATTAGTAAAGAATAGAAAGTATTAATATTCTTATATACCTTTGCGACTAATAGCTACACTCGAGACCTAGCTAAGGACTTTTACTACTTAGTAGACAAGTATAGTCGTATAATCTATAAGGTTATAGCCGCTATCTTAGAGGTATATCTAGCACTTATAAGTTATTACTTAAGCTGCTACGGACGACAATCTAGCGGTTAAGGCGAAGGGGCGGAAATACTAGCCTTTCTTTAAGGACGCTATTAGTGCGCTAGATAGCTCTTATATATTAGTATACGTACTAGTTAACTAGCAAGCAGTATTCCGTAATCGCAAGGGCACGCTATTATAGAATATATTAGCGGTCGTAGACTATAATATAAGGTTTACCTTTATTCTTACTAGATAGGAGGGCTCCGCTTACGACGGCTATATACTTAATAACGCTCGCTCGTACTATAGGTTTAGTATGCTAGAAGGACGATATTATCTCGCTAATACTAGCTATCTAAACAACGCGCCTTATATAGTGCTATATAGAGGGGTGCGGTATTACCTACGCAAGTAGTACCTAGCCTTAATAAAGCCGGCGGACTATAAGGAGCTATTTAACCTCTACTATAGTTCTCTTCGAAATATAGTTAAGCGGATATTTAGTATATTAAAACGACGATTTCGCATCTTCGAGAGCGCGCCGCAGTATAATATCTGCTCGCAAATAGCTATAGTATACGTTGCTACCGCCTTTTATAACATTCTCTAAGAGATAGGCGCGAAGGTAGACGAGAACTTTAAATTAGAGGCCGACGAGACTAACGATAGGCCCTTTAATAATGCCGCCGCCGCTGCAGAAGAAGATAATAGCGTTAAAGGACCGATAGATAGGATAAGGGATACGCTAGTACTAGAAATATAGCGACAATATTAACTATACCTAGAAGAAGAAAATAATAATATAGACGAGACTATATCTACTTAGTTATAGAAGTCGTAGATAGGGAGGGGCTTCTTTATATTCGATAGGGATGTTAAGAATCTTAGTCGTTACTTAGATATAGCTGTTTTGTATAGAGTTTCTCGTTTCTATAATGTAATACTCGACTTCCTACTATTTATATAGAATTTTATAGAGACAACTTCTAGCTACGAAACTCGGTTTTATATTAGAATCTTAGATCTTACTAAAACCGCACTAAAAGCTAGCGATATAATAATATTAAAAAAAAGCTATATTCGAGAATAGCTAACAGATCTAATACTTCTAGGCTTAAGACAATAATTTAAACTCTTTAAAGAACTCTTTAACTAACGCTATCGATATAGCCTATTACGCGTCTAACGGCGTACTAAGAAAGATATTAACTATGCCGCTATCTTCCGCCGTCGTTATCTTGCGATATAGTAGTCGCTTTTGCCTTAAAGTTAGGTCCTAAAGCTCCTCGTATCTAGCGACGAATTCCGCCGAGAATACGAGTCGCAATAGCGTATATACTAGTAGTAGTAGTATTGCTATTATCTCCGCCGTACGATATATTACCGCGACGATATTATCGATAGACTACTATATCCGATTCTAAGACTCTAATCGACGACGCTTAGCCTTAACGTTAGTATTATAGATTACCCGCTTTCGAGTATAGACATCGTCCTTCGGCGTATCTACCTTACTCTTAGTTACTATAATAGCTAGATCGGATACTACTAGCGTAGGAGGTAGAATTAGACTATTAAGCATCGCTTCTATAGATAAAACGTACTCTCTAGTAGCAGTTATATCGCCAAACAACTAGTCTAGTTTAACTAAGAATAGAAGCGGCTTCTTTAGGAATTTCTTCGCCCTTAGATAGATAGTAATATAAGCCTTTATAACATCGTCCGGAGCAGTTAAATAACTAGTGTTTAGATTAATGCCGAAGCTAGATTAAGCTAGCATCTTATGCTATATCTTCTAGTCTACTTTAAGGGCAGTAAGCTTGTTCTTTATAGACGTAGCTATAATACGAGCCTTCTACTAGGCCTATATAACGATAAGGTTTACTGCTATTACTACCGCTATAAACAGTCCCTTCTTAAAGCTAGAATCGGCCCTCTTACTATAGTTCTTATACCTATCGATAGCGCTAGTTATAAGGCACTATATCTTAGTATTATTAAACCGCTAGTTACTTTCTACTTTAACCTTAATAACTAGCGGTAGATTAAGGGCCGCCGCGAGCTTATCGAGTGTCTCTAGGTTCTATTATATGTCCGGCAATTGCGAATAATTAGGCGGTAGTTCTAGCTAAGAGTACTAAGACTAGTCGATTGCTTAAGATTCTATACTTTACTAACAAATTTGCTAGGCAATCGATAGTCTACGAGCGACTAGACCTATAGCTATCTCTTATATCGAACTACTAGCGACGAACGAGCTGTTACAATCGCTACCTCCTACCTTATTTTATACCTAAAGCTACTACCTAAAGTCTACGAAGGTTACGAGACTGCGCTAAGAACGCCTTTACCGAGATTGCGACGACACGATAACTATATTAGAAGACACACCTCGTTATCCAATTCACTTATTATAGCGGCCGCTAATGCAGAAGGTTATATGCTAATAAGCGCCACAATATTGAAGATTGGATTATAGACACGACAGGCTCTAGATCCATCCAGAGCTCAATCCATCGGACGCAACGCCAACGTGCAGGGACCTACACTTCTCTGTTCCAAAAAGCCACAATCATCTAGGCGAGCGCCATGAAAATAACCTTAAACTGATTTGGCCGGGCACTCGCACCGCCATTGCCTCGGCCGCTTGCTTGTCATTCGGGCTTGAAAAGATCGATGGATATGAAGACCGAAGACAACGAGCAACAACAACACGGTCTCCGTATGATTCTGACCCAGTAGTGGTAAGAAATTCAAGTTTTGATGTTCCCCTTGGCGAATGATCATCGTGACGACGTGACCAACACCTGCAAATCCGCGAACTGTGGCGCGTCCTCTCAGCGACTCGCGTAACATATGTGATCGACGATGCCTGTCAAGATTGTCCGATGGAGAGAGGTCCGCTCTAAAGCGGACACCCCCATACTATCTTTGCGTAGGCACCATAGATTGGGTCTTGCAATGGTCTCAGGCCCACGGCAAATAACTCCCGGCCGTGGCAATAACACGACAGCAAAGCCAAGTGTCGCTCCGGACAGGCACTCCACTGCCAGCAGAGGCAATTTCGATTAGTCCTTGCCAGCTGCTACGCGATACCTATGTTAGTAAAGGAGAAGTGCTCTGGACTGTTTTTGAGTAGCAGAGGAGAGTGAGAACATTGTAGCAAGAAGTCTGTCTTCATTTCGATTCCTTGGTGTGCTGCATACGGCAGCAATGTTCATTTGCTCACAGGGTATCTTTCGCGAACTCATAAAATCGTCATCCATATGCTTCATTCCCTCTGTTCGGTGCTCGCCAGCCTAGAAATCCTGTCCTTCTCTCCGAGTCTCGCCCGCTCTCTGCTTTTGTGTAGCCAGCACTTGTCTCCCTTAACATGGAAGTAGAAGTGTCTCCTGGACTACTTCTTTACTGTACTCGGCAGCCTGCAACGAGACCGTCTCAGCTCGGTCATGCTTGTACCTGATAAATTGAGGCACCAAGATCCTGTTGTCAATGTCTGGCACTGACATGTCTAGTACCCCTTCTGAGTATTCGTTGATTGGAGCAGGATTGCTGTTTGATAGTGCAATTGTGTGATGGTGTCTTTCAGCGCTGTGTCAGGCCAACCAATGCTGCACATCTACTGCAGTACCAGAGGTTCAAGCCGTAACTAATCATGTTGCTCTTTCCTGTCTGAACATCTATGCTGGGTGTGCGCTGACATCGCGAGCACCTTGCAAGCTCTGGTGACGAGACGGTGGAGCTGATGGATGACTTCGAGGAGCTTTCAGCCGAAGATGTTGAGTCGTCGCTCGTGACATGAAGCACGTTCTGGACTGGGTATGGCCGTGGTCTGCCACCCAGTTGCCCGTGGGCTGCAGCGGTCTGTCTGGACATGAAGTTCGATGCCATCGGCGGTTCCGTTGGTGGTGACAGAATTGCACTTTCGCGGCTTGCCAGTAGAGGGTGTTCTATGTATGCTAATGTATCGTCCCCAGGACTGAAGGTGGGTGAAGCAAAAGGCGTCTCGACTGAGAAGTGGCTGTAATTGTTGGCAGTGTCTCCAAGGGTAAAGTAGTCCGTTCGGGAGGCGATGTTGTGTTCTTGCATCACGGGCACGACATGTGCAGGCGATGTGATGTCGGATCGAATTGGCAAAACGCAAAACACTGGAATGCCCGTATGATCAGCAGCAAGGGGGTCGGTGACGACGCTCACCTGGGAGGAGCACCAAGTATGTATGTATATGAAGCGCAGCATACGAAGCGCAACCGGCGCCGACACATTTCAAAGATCGAGGATGTGAGCAGCCGACCAAACCGAACAGCGCCCGCGGGTGTACCAGGCCAGGCCAGGCCAGGCCACCAGCCCAGCTTGGCCAGTCGGCGAGGATCTCAGAGGGCGTGCAAAGGCTAGCAGTTGTGCGAGGCAGAGATTGCACCCAAATCCAGATCCGTGTCGCCCGCGCAGAAGAACCCAAGCCAAGCCTGGTGGCCGCATCGACCGATCGAAGGCGAAGGCGCAGTCCCACGTCCTTTCGACTGAGCCACACTTGCATCTGGTTGGTCGCTTGGTTGGTTCTGCTGAAACACTCGCCGGACTCACCACCGCTCTGTCTCTTTCATCGCCTGATCGCCTGTCCCCAGCATGATTCGGTGGTTGCCAACAGTGCTGCGTCGCGGTTACTTTCGCTATTCACATGGCATGGCAAGTCTTCGGCCACGTTCCGGCTGAATGAGTACCTACATAGGTGCTAGGTCTATCTCGTACATACCCTAGACGACATGACCATATTCACCGAGTGCGCCGCGTGGCTTTTGGGGCCCGAAGTCGGAAGAACTCACGACGAAACGCAATCGAGGTTCCTGAAAATCTGCAGCTTATACCACGACTGCCGAAGGCGTTAGACAATCACCTCACCAAACTACGATGATGACTGCCTGCGCATGGGCCACTAGGACTCGCTCCGAGACTTGTCCAAGATTATTCACTCTGCTCATCAATCGACAATCATGCCTTGAGTATGGCTGCCAGCTTTTAGTACATGTACGGCGTGGACCGCACTTCGTCATATTGGCGTAGGCCTAGACCAACCTCTCATGACCTACACCTGTGATGAGGAGCTCTTACACTTCTTACTTGTCGCTGGTCTCAGCTAGATCTTGGAACCAGCAGGTTTGAATGAAGGCGCTTGTCGGAACCTTCGTCCACTGTACAGTCCTTACTCACAACGGATGGTTCTTCTATGAACAGATGCAAAGCTCGCTCGTTGAACTATTCCCCCAGGCTAATCGCATGAGACATCCAGGCACTTCCCGCTGTGACCAGCGAGATCAGAAAGCCATCAATTCATTGATTCAGTTCCTGCGGGAAAAGCAAGCCTCGCGAGAAACACAGCATGCTCCAACAGTTCGGCTTGGCGATCCGACCAACCAGGCCCTCAGGGTTGTGGCATGCATGACCTTTCTTCTATGGGGCGCAAAAAGGCCCCACAAATTGCGGTGGCTTTCGTCTGGCCGTAGAGGCCTCAGGTAAGTTAGCTCTTGTCCTCTGACCGGGCTGTCTTTCCACAGCATTGCTTGCGGACCTGATGCGTTCTGTTCAGCCTGTAGGTCTGTGGTCGGTAAGATGCTTCCTGAGATCACTCGACGTCGAATTCAGCCCATAGCCTAGAGCGATCCACGAGAAAGCCCTTCTCGTCAAACGTTACGCCCTCCTTCTTGAGGAGGTCTAACTTCAGTTCCTGATTGACACCTGAAGGGGCTTTCTGCCATTCGCCCTTGAAGCCGCCAACATACTAAACAGTCCAGTCAGCAAATTGCCGCCGTGCATGGCTTGTTCTCTTGCTTGCTTACCCCGTCTGCGCCGATCACTCTGTGACAAGGCACTTCTGGGGCGAACGGATTGCGTCGAAGTGCACCGCCAACAGCTCGAGGACTCGAGTGAAGTGCTTTTGATAGGGCTGCGTATGTAGAAATCTTTCCTGCTGGTATTTGTCGCAACAAAGAGTACACTCGAGCTTGATACTCAGTGACGTTGATCTGTTTCGCGGACGCCATGGTCGTGCTTGTCATTACAAGGTCGGAGATGTAGAAGAACAAAGCTAAATGTAGTATTCACACAGGTTCTCTGTCAATTATTTATGACCCAGGACATTGCTGTAGAAGCATCGATGTAATGCACATCTAAAGCAACAACGTAGCAGGCAGCGACGCGTTGTGGAGTGAATTGGCGCGATTTGCATTGTGGTCCGCCGTAGCTCTGACGTGAGTGCCACTCGAGCCAATCTTCTCCAGCTCCAGCTGTTATGAAGGTTTGTCTCCACCTGCAACGTGACCACACGCTGACCGCAAGGTCATTAACCTTCACCAGGGCCGGCAGACAGGCACCGAATCGTCACCCAACCTCTTACCTCTGGAGTCCTCTTATACTGATCGAGTACCGGTATCTTCGAGCGTGAATACCAGCATGCGAAGTTGTTAAATGCCTAGGGTATGGTCAAGCAGGACGCAATAATCATGATCACGAACACTTGAGATCAGGTCTAGCCGAGCGAGCACCATCTCTAGCTCAACACTGAGCATCCGTAAACCCGCTATTCCGAAGGCAGTACGGTCGAGATCCATACCAACGACCACCATGTCGCGCCTATTCCCAAAATTGACCGCGAGTGGCCTGCAAGCCACGACATATCTGCTCGGCATCGCGTTGTTCAGCATATCCTTCCTGGTGTTCCTCAATAGCAGCATCTCGTTTGTGGTGACGGAAGTCATTGGTCAGAAAGAGAAGGTTGGAGATGCAGTGGGGACACTTGGCTTCGCAGACGAACTGCTAGCCCTGGTGGCATGTCCCTTATGGGTAGGTTGGAGGCATACGTGACCATGAGCGAAGGATATTCTCGCTGATTTTGTGCTTCTTGCTTCCAGGGTATGTTGTCGGATCGAATAGGCGTCAGGGCTGTCGCAGTCACCGGCTATTGCATTGTCGCGTTTAGTTTGGTATGCCTAGTACAGAGCACGAATGTGTACCCGGAGCTCCTGTTAGGACGGCTGTTGTTCAGCTTAGGTGGCGCTGCTTGCTCGACAATGGTCACAGCGGTACTACCCAGCATGGTTGCAGAACCACATGTGCACGAGGATGATGAGACTCCAGCACCAAACGGCAATGTGGCTAGACTGCGCCAAGAAGAACGGGGTCGGAATGGCAGCATAGGTCATGCGCCATCTCCAAGCATCAACAGCGAATTGACCATTACGCCAGCAAGTTTTGCGTCTGATACCCAGCGCCAGGATGCACAAATCAAAGGATCTGGAGAAGATGATGCGTTCGAGACCGACCGGACAGCAGGTACCTCCGAGCTAGCTGGACTGGTCGGATTTTTCACTGGTGCAGGTGCACTCCTGGCTCTGGCGATACTTCTACCTTTACCTGCCTACCTTCAACACGATGGCTTCAGTCAAGCAAGCAGCGTTCAGGTCAGCTTCTACATTGTAGCTGGGATCGCTGTGCTCGTTGCTATATTCATATTTATTGGACTCCGCAATCTGCCTGGTGAGGAGAAGAAGAGTTTGTCATCTCTCCTCAGACCGCCATATGACGAGACCACGACGATAGGGCCAGAAGGACATCCTCACACGGTCCTCTCTCCGGCGCCTTCCTATATTGCCCTTGCAAAGGAGTCTTTGAGGCTTGGATTCACCGATCCTGCGATCGGGCTCGGCTATCTTGGAGGTTTCGTTGCACGCGCATCATCTGTCGGCATCTCGCTCTTCATCCCCTTGTTTGTGAATGCCTACTTCGTCCGCAACGGACTATGCACATCGAATCCGGACAACATCTCTGACATCAAACGGGAATGCGAACGCGCATATAAGCTCGCTGCGGCTCTCACTGGGATCGGCGAGACTGCAGCTTTGATTTGTGCGCCGATCTTTGGATACGTGGGCGGTCGAGCGGCAAGAAACAAATGGTCAGAATGGCCACTTCTGGTCGCGTCCATTGTCGGTATCGCTGGATATGTCAGCTTTGGTGTGCTCAAAAATCCAGATGCATTTCACGGAGGTGGAGGACAATGGGCGTTTCTATCTGTCATCTTCATCGGTATCAGCCAGATCGGAGCTATCGTTTGCTCACTCGGCCTGTTAGGCCGCGGTATAAACGGGAACACACAGATTGCCCAAACAGGCGCGCATGGAAGGTCGCACGTAGTCGCACCATCAGAAATTGGAGCTGCAAACGGAGACGAGAGCGCGGCACTGCTACCTAATGCTCCAACCGCAAAGTCAGCTGCATCTATCGATCGAAAGCGACTAAAAGGATCCATCGCTGGCATGTACAGCTTCATCGGCGGAGCTGGCATCCTGATCCTGACCAAATTGGGAGGCGCTCTGTTCGACACATGGACTCCTGGCGCACCATTTTTCATTATGGCAATCTTTAATGCGATGCTACTTGCGGCGATTATACTTGTTGGGGCCCGGGTGGAAGCGCAGTACTAGGGAAGCACAGGGTAGAGGGGTCTTCATTGCCGCCTCGAAGCATAGAATAGTCGTATAAAAGAAGAAAATGTCAAGTCTGCGCGACTCTGCGGTGTGCATTTCATGATCAGGTCTACTCCTCGTTATTCGATTGCTCACTTTCAACAAGGATTTTGCGCAATAAAAATGTGACGTGTGAAATGTGACCGCCTCGGATTTCTGTCACTTTGGCGCGACTTTCTGCGCTCAGGCTTGCAAAGCGCTATTAAAGTTCATAAAGTTAAACGCGTCCAGTCCCTGAGAGCGCGTCGCACCAAAACATTGCCATTGCCATTGCCATTGCCATTGCCGCTCGACTCGCCAATGTCTTGGATTCCTGCGTGACGTTGGATATCTTGGGCGTGAGAGCCAGAGCAAGACACAAAGGTTTCGAAAAGGGTCCCCGCACCTTCTCGCGGGCAGCCGACCAAATGGCAGGCACCCTCAAGGAAAGAGCGTCGCGACTGCACGAAGTAGCTAAAGCGCTCTTGCCCACTGCTGCTGAAGACTCGGCTTCGGTTTTGTCCAAGCCAAAGAACATTTACATCGTCCTCGAGCGCGCCGACAATCCGTGCAATCTCGACCACCCAGACATCGACAGCTTTTTCTGGATCAAAGGCAGCAAGGTTCGATCACCAAGTCCCGACATGGACATCCATCGCTGACAGCTCACTAGAAAGTCTCCTTCGCCAAACTTATGGACGTCTATCGAGCTCGTGTCCCGGGCGCCTCGGATGTGGAGCTCAACGTGGGAGGCAACACCATGCACGATCAAGCTACTATTGGCGATATTCCAGAAATCAAAGATCAACTCGTTGTCGTTTCGGCTGTCAAGCGCGAGTCGCCAGCACCCACATCATCCTTCAGCAATGCTGCCAGCAGTCAGAGCTCCGTCCGACAGCCTCTTCAGCCGGTTAATCGCCAGCTTTCGACGCCGCTGAAGCGGAGCGCAGACGAATTGGCAGTCAAGCACGAATGCAAAAGCCCAGTTGGTCTGCCTCCAGCTCAGCCTGTATTAGAAGCCGCTGCGACTCCTCGTGCAGCCACGCCTCTTGGCCCCAACCCAACGCTTGGAGCATACCCGGCTGCAGGCACTCTCAAACAGGAGCAAAAGGATGATGATGATGATGAGCAGCACATGCCGGAAACCCAGTACGAGCCCCGATATCAAGAAAATCCGTTTACCAAGAAGCAAGAAGATCTTGAAGACGCCGAACCCGCCCTGCGCGGAGTACCACTCTTGGACCTCATCAAGGATGGCACGCCAGAGAGGCTTGAAGCTGGCGTGGAAGCTGGCTTACGCATTTTATCCAAGGTTGAAGCTCCCCTGAAGGAGCTGCATGACAATCAGGATGCTCAGAACTGGCTTGCTCAAATTGCCAAGGTACGCGAAGGCGCTAAGCGAGCACGAACTGTCGTAGGCGTTGTCGGCAATACTGGTGCAGGCAAGTCAAGTGTCATCAACGCTATGCTGGACGAAGAGAGATTGGTTCCCACGAACTGCATGCGTGCTTGCACAGCGGTTGTCACAGAGCTTTCGTTCAACTACAGCAACAATCCTGCCGCCAAGTATAGAGCAGAGATCGAGTTCATCCAGCCGGAGGACTGGCAAAAGGAACTTGAAATCCTCTTCCAAGAGATTTTCGACGAGGGTGGGGGCTTCAGCAAGGAAATCTCCAATCCAGACAGCGACGCCGCAATCGCGTATGCGAAGGTGAGAGCTGTCTACAACACCTACACTCGCGAGATGCTCGCCAACACTAGCATTGAATCTTTGATGGGCAACAAGAGAGTCAGTAACCTGCTTGGCACATCAAAGAAGATCGCCGCTCGCGAACCTGGCTCCTTCTACAAACAACTCCAACAGTGGGTCGACAGTAAAGAGAAAGGCTCGGAGAAGCTGGACAAGAACGGCAACCAGATTGCCAGGAAAGTCCGCGACTTCGAGGCATGGCCACTGATCAAAGTGGTAAAGATTTTCTGCAAGTCGCCAGCTCTGTCGACCGGAGCCTGCATCGTTGATCTACCAGGTGTTCACGATAGTAATGCCGCGCGTGCCGCTGTCGCCGAGAGTTACATGAAGTGTTGTACTGGTCTATGGATTGTTGCTCCAATTACCCGAGCGGTTGACGATAAGGCGGCGAAGCATTTGTTGGGCGAATCTTTCAAGCGACAACTCAAGTATGACGGAACGTACAGTGCTGTCACCTTCATTTGCAGCAAAACCGATGACATTTCTCGCATGGAGGCCGGTGATAGCCTTGGCTTGAACGATCAGCTGGCAGAGCTGGATGAGAAGGCGAACGAGCTGGAGAAGAAGCGCGGCGAGCTCAAGAAGAAGAAAGATGCTGCCAAAGGAAAGCAGAAGGATCTTGACGCCAGCATTGAGCAGATCGAAGATGACATCGACGTGTGGGAGAAGTTGTCCGACGATCTTGAAAGCGGCAAAACAGTATATGCGCCCTCCCAATCCGCGAAGAAGAGGAAAGCGTCCCGATCATCCCAACCAGTGAGCAAGCGCCGACGCCGCGCGATGGACTCTGATGATGAAGATGAAGACATGGACTATGAGGATTCTGCCTCAGAGCGAGAACTTGAACAGGAGCGGGGAGGTGGAACACCTGAACCACCTGGAGAGGCGCTTACCGTAGCTAACGTCGAAGCGAAGCTTGAAGAGCTGCGCCAGCTCAAGAAAGAGGCACGTCGCGAGAAGCGATCACTTGGCGATTCCCTCGAGGAAATACAGAACCTCGTCGACAGTGTGAACGTTGACCTGGCCGACGTCAATGCAAAAAAAGACGCTATTTGCATCGCTGGTCGCAATGACTACTCTCGGGGGGCCATACAGCAGGACTTTGCGGCAGGCGTTCGCGAGCTGGATATGGAGACAGCGGAGGAGGAAGATCCAGACAATTTCGACCCAGAAATCGACATAAGAGACTATGAAAAAGTTGCGGAGAGCCTGCCAGTCTACTGTGTCAGCAGCAGGGCGTATCAGAAGCTGTCAGGCAGATTGAAGCGAGACAATGATGTCCCTGGATTCACCGACATCAAGGAGACGGAGATTCCTGCTCTCCAAGCCCATTGCAAGAAGCTTACTGAAGCCGGCCGGCAGGCAACCTGTTCCAGGTTTCTCAATAGTGTCAAGCAATTGCTCACCTCGCTTCAGATCTGGGCAGGAGATGACGGCACTGGGACAAAGTTGAGTGCGGCCCAGAGAGATTCCGAAAAGGCATGGCTCGCACGTAAACTGAAAGAGCTGGAAAAGGCGCTCGAAAAGACGGTCAAGGTAACACTTGATGATGCCATTGAAACTCTGAACGAGCAGCTATTCGATAAATTTGGGCCCGCAATCCAAGCTGCCACCGACGAGGCCCTGCCAAAAGCGAGATCGTGGGGCAATCGTAAGTGTGATGATAATGATCGGCCTTATCTCCACAAGACCATGGCTGATTTCATGTGAACAGGTCGAGAAGAAGGCGGACTGCTTTGGGCGACATACAAGGCTACGACGCGGCGTAAAGGTTCATCACACATTCGCACAAGCCCATTCCTGAGGGACATTTTGCTGACTAGTAGTGTTTGCTTGTTGCAGGTGTATTCAGTGGTGCGAGCGGTGCTCGTGACTTCAACGGGGAGCTTACCGAGCCAATCTACAAGATGCTGGCCAGCGCTTGGGAGCGGTGCTTTCAGCGACGGCTTCCGACAATCCTGCGATCTCTTCGCAAGTCAGCTTCGACTGTCCTGCATCAGTTCCATGCCGAAGCTGAGCGCCGTGCGACAGAGAGAGGCCTCGGATTGCCTCGCATCCGGATGCTTGCGGGACAGTTGGAAGCATACACTGCTATATTCCAAGACCTGTGTGAGACAGCTGTAACACTGCTCAACAATGGACAAAAGGACATCAATCGCGAGTTCACGCCGATCATCACGGCCGCAATGGAGCCGGCCTACACAGTTTGTTCTGAGGAGAGAGGCGCAGGCTCGTTCGCGCGCATGAAAAACCACATGACGTCTCATGTTCAGGGTTGCCAGGACGACATGTTCAGGACTGCGTCGGAGGAAGTGCGAGCTAGTTTGGAGCGGCTGTGCAAGACGATTCGCAAGGATCTGCTTGAAAAATCGGATCAGGTCTTCGTCAGTATGAGCAGGGACTACATGGTACGAATGGCGCGTTGTGGTGTATTCCATTCTCTGACTAACCATCTATTCCCAGGGAGTCAACACTGCAGAGGTTAAGCTTACAAGAGAAGAGCGTGTTGCGCGCAGAAGCGTGGATGAAGCTGTGCGGTCCGCCGACCAGGAGTTCCGTGATGTGCTGGAGCGAGATATCGAAGAGCTCAAGGCCATGGCCGCTCTCGGTGACAGCGGCGACGCGGCTCATGGCGCTGAGGCGGATGAAGAGGCTATGGAAGTCGACAATGACAGTGACGACCATGCCTTCGAGGACGAGCGTGACACGGCTGGGTCGGAAGGTGATACTCCTGCGCACACGCCTCAGACCAGCACCACCGGGGTGGGTGTTGCTGGCCACGTCGATGAGAAGCAGGAAATAATAATGCACGCAGAGCAGGAAGTGGTCAGTCAGGGTGGAGTGGCAGCAGCGACAGCATGTGCAGACACAACAGAGCAGTAGGATGTGCTCATCAATAATGCTCCCGTGTTGGTGGTCTCTGCACGTCATCGGCGCACCGCACCGCACCGCTCAGGAATAATAATGTGGCTTGCTTTGCGTTGGGTGTTCCTAACATGGCTTACTGTAAACATAACCTATTCTTGTCCTCTCCATGCATTTTTGGGCCTTGGCGGGGTGTGCTGATGCGCGCCAAGAAAGCGTGGAGGCGATGGTTATATTTAGATGACGGAAGACGGCCGGCTCTCGGTGCAAAATCTTGACAGGCATGTGCGATGCGGCCGACGTTTTTCGGGAACGGCTCGATGGCCCGGATACGGGGATACGGGACGATAGCAGCACGCTATGCCACTTCGCCACTGTGGGGAGGGGAGGATTATTTTCAGGCACAACACAAGCACCGTGCCGTCTGACCGCTAAGCCCATCGAACGGCGGTGGAAGGGAGGGGAGGCGACCGTACCGTAGCGTGGCCATCGCCGCCTTTCCTTTCTCCAATGCCCCGCGCGCGCCCGCTGCTCGTTCCTCGTTTGCCGTATACGCCGTCTCGCGTGTGCAAAGCCCGCAAGACGATGCGGATCATGAATGCCCCTCGCTGCATGTATTGCATGAGAATATATGGAAGACACTGATCCATGTCTCTCTAGGAGCCCTCCCGCTATTTCAGGAATGATCCCCTATGCACACGCATACGCACACCCTCCACCACTCCTTCAACGACACATGTTCAACCATCACCACCCGCTTCACGTCGATGACCGCAATCCTACCCTACCCTTCAGCAATCGGGACACGCGACACATATATGTGCACAAGATCGGATCGGCCACTCGCTTCGTCTTCGACGACACCGAGCTGAATGGACCGTGATCAACGCGCGCAGAATGATCATCGCCGAGCGCATCTCGTTGCGAGTAGGAGGAGCTGGAGCAACCAACAAGATCGACCCCCCGTCGTTTCTCCAATGGCCTCAACAGGACCGACGCATTACACACATTGGGAGCACATACCAGCCCCAGACAGACCGAGAGCTTGGCGTGGCCCGGCGGACACAAGAACGCCAGTATCGCCATTGACGCCTGCACCCCGGCTCGATCGATCTTTCGACCAGAGCACACAACATCATCCAAGTCCAAGGGCGAGTCGTCGTTGCAGACCAAGTAATCCAACCAACACGCATGCCTATGCATCTCCTCCACACCGCATGCCTCCTGCTCTACTTTTCCCCCAAGCAGACACGGATGAAGACCGCCGCAGCATGTATAGCGCTCCCGACCAGCTGCAGCACTACCCAAGGTCGGTGAGCCAGCCAAGTACCCCTCGAGCCGTTCCAAGCTTTTTCTCGGAAGAAACGAACGAGCCATCATTCCCACGAGCCCCGACTTATCCGCCTGCCAGCAGGCGAAGGCCACGCAGCACTAGTAACATTGGCGATGGCACTTTTACCCATGCAGAGGATTTCCACCTATTTGTCCAAGCGACATCCGGCCTTGGACCCGAGCAGCCGTTTCGGAATGCTGCATCCGGCGCAGCTGCTCAGAACGATCGCAGTGCGACTTCAAACGCGCAGCATGTGCAAGGCGAGACAATGATCTCTCCTGGCACAACGCAGACCCCGACCACGCTCTTAGCGCTCCGACAACTTGCGCAGATGCCCGAGGCGTCCCATACCACACCTTTACGGCCAGAGCCACGAATATTATCGACGGAACAACCTGACACACGACATCCTGGCGTCCATGTATGGCTGCAGCCGCCAAGTGCAACTTGGGAAAATGATGAACCAAATGCTGAGGACGATGAGTTGCCAGACTACGCTGCGTCCCAAGCACAGGCTCAAGCGGCGCAGCGCGTGCAGGCAGCACGACGAGCGCAAGAACTTGCAAGAAGGTGGCAGCAAAGTCGATGAAAAGAGGGAATGATGCGTTTGCAAGCCTTTGTAAAGACTTATCCGACGATAACTCAAGAGTTCACGTATGGCGATCGACAAGAAGAAGATGGTCGTCGCAGAAATTTGTATCTACTGTACAGATACCAAGCCGAAGCGCCTTGTAACCGAAGGCCAATACTGTATCATTAACATGGCGAGGATATTACGAGATGTCGACTCTTGGCTACAGTGGTTCTTCCAATAATGTTGGATGTCGTGACTACAATAAGCGATCGATCGACAATCGCTCCACTCTTCCGGCCATGCACGGTCGCGTCACGACCGTCAGGAACAGGAAAAGCGCAACCAATCCAAATGCGTACGCCCTGTGCTATCAACTTCATTCCTCCCAAGATGCTTATTTGGTTGTGTTGTGACCGGTGTAGCTTCCTGTTACACTTCACTATACATTGATTGCTACGATGACCAAACCAAGAGTGTTGTACTGGTGAGATCTCTTCGACTTCTGATGTCGGGTGGGTTCATCTGACAATCCCTAGGTTTCGAACCGACTTGAGACTTCACGATTCGCCAGCGTTGAAGGCTGCTCTTGACCTACAACCTGAAGTCCTGTATGCCTTCATCATATCGACCCTTAGTACAGTGTCTTACGGCCTTTCAGGTATCCGATCTGGTGTTGGGACTCTCACTACGTCTACAGGGCAAGAGTAGGAGCAAATCGGTTTCAATTCCTCGTACGTTGCACTGACGAGTGTTCCGTGCCACCCTTTCGAGCTGATGTGAACCACCCAGATCGACTGTCAAAACGATGTCTCGAAAAGCATCACGAAGTTGAACAAGAAGAGCAAGCTTTTCGTGCTTCGTGAGCCTGCAGTGACACTATTGCCGAAGCTCTTCAAGGCTTGGAAAATTAGCCATTTGGTCTTCGAAAAGGATACTGATGCTTACGCACGAGAGCGAGATGCCAAGGTCACCGAAGCAGCCAAGAAGGCAGGAGTGGAAGTCATCGTAAGTTGAAATGACGCGTCCATTATTGTATCGCGATGCGGACTGACCATATGTGGCGGTTTCTAGATTAAGAACGGAAGGACTCTCTTCGACCCAGACGACATCGTGAAGGCGAACGGCGGGAAACCAACGATGAGTATCAGCCAACTTCAACAGGCAGGAGCGAAAATCGGGGACATTGAGCAACCCATCGATGCACCAAAGTCTTTGCCTGACCCCGGAGACATGACCTTGAAGATTGAGCAAACCAAGCCCGATCCGAATCCCGACTTCAACGAGAGCCATCGCGAGAGCGACGATGCAACTTTCGACTCGGGAATCGCTGGTCCAAGTGGTAAATTTGATCCTCCTACGCTTGCGGAGCTGGGCATGAAAGCTGCTACCTCGCCACACAAGGGCGGCGAGTCTGTCGTCTTGCACAGTCTGGAGAATATTCTGGCTGATGAAGGTGAGCACATCGAAGTTTCAGCCTCTCCATGTGGTGTAGCATCTCAGTTTGGAGAGACTCGCTGACCATAATCTCTTCACGCCAGACTACGCGGCCACGTTCCAGAAGCCGAAAACGTCTCCAGCTGCATTCGAGCCACAATCGACCTTTTTGACCTCCCCATATCTGCACTTCGGTGCTCTGTCATGCCGCTACGTAGGTCACTTCGCCTGCAGCCCGCACAAAGTATGCTAAATCCATATCCAGTTCTATCATCGAGTCGCAGAGATTGTCGAGAGGAGAAAGAAGGAGAAGAAGCCCACGAGCTCGCCACCCGAATCATTGGCCGGGCAACTTCTTTTCCGCGACATGTATTTTGCGGCACAGGCCTCGCTTGGCTGGAGCTTTGGTCAAACATACAACAATTCTCACTGCCGCTTTGTGCCATGGCATCTTCCCAGCAAAGTCGACATTCTGAGTAAGCGCACGACTGGAGCGTATGAGATTGACGATGAGGAGAAAGAAATCTGGTTCCAGCGGTGGCGGTCCGGCACCACTGGTACGCATTCAATAAAGAGCAGCCCGTCATTATGGAAGCAGTGCAGCTGCTAACAGGTGGTCTAGGCTTTCCGTGGATAGATGCAATCATGAGGCAGCTTAGAGCCGAGGGCTGGATCCAGTACGATATTGTCTTTACCTGAGAGAATTCTTTCGCTAATCATATGCTTGTCCAGTCATTTAGCAAGACATTCAGTGGCATGCTTCTTGACCAGGGGTGGATGTTACATCTCGTGGGAAAGAGGTGCTGAGGTGTTTGAAGAACTATTGATTGATCACGAAGCTGCATGTAACATTGGGAATTGGCAATGGCTCAGCTGTACGGCATTTTTTGCTCAATTCTATCGGTGGTAAGCACCAACAGTATGGGGAGGAGTTCGCGAGTAGCGACGCTGACACAACCAACAGTTACAGCCCAATTGCTTTTGGAAAGAAATGGGATCCGGGTAACTCCTCGTTGATGCAAGGCCCGAGCACAGTGCAATGCTGACAACAATTTCAGATGGCGACTTTGTCCGCAAATACGTACCAGAGCTTAAAGACTTCCCCAAGAAATTCATTTACGAGCCACACAAGGCACCCATCGCCGATCAGAAAAAGGCCGGAGTGCTCATCAAAGGAGACGGCTCGGACACGGAGATGGATGGACTGAAAGTATACCCAAAGCCCATGTTCGACTTCAATGAACGACGTGAAATCTGTCTTCAGGGCATGAAGAATGCATATCAAGTGGGAATGTACGGCACGCACGAGAAAGTGCTTGATGGCAGCTGGAAGCAGGCTTTCGACGATGCGGCTGAAGGTCCGACCGAGGGCGATCATGGAGGTCCGGGTGGACTGGACACTTACTCTGATGCGGACGGCGCCGAAGAGGCAGATCCAGTTGCAGCGAAAACGTCGAAATTGAAGAAGCAAGGTTCGAAAGGAAGTGCTTCAACGCAGTCGAGCCCCAAAGCCACACGGGCTGGACACAAGAGAGAACATTCCCAGAGCACTCTCGATGGGAAATTTGAGAAGCGGACCAGGGGCTGAGCTGTGGGGGTCGTCTGATCAAGAGTTCGATTACCCATGATCCGGTTGAGTGCTGTTCTTGGCTGGTGCTACTTGAGAGATCAATTCGGTGTTGTACAACGGGCGATGGCTCCTCGGGCGACGGGCAGTAGTTCTATGGCGTCTTCAAAGCCTGCTGTGACGCTTGCCTTCTTCATCCTCGTTCGACGAAACCTTCTCCACCAACCCGTCGATATCGTTCTCGAGAGCCCCACCGTATAGAGCAGGCGGATGGAAAGCCAAATTAGACAGTTGACTCGGAATAGAGTCATTAGATTCACTTGCCTTCGGTATCAATTGTGGCCAAGAGCATGGATGCCGCACAAAACTGTGAACTGAACAGCTCCGATGTTTCTGATTGCGGGATGGATGCTCGTCTCTCCAGAGTCATTCCATACTCCGTCGACATATCGACCAATGACTGAATTCATAATGGGATATATCACGATGTATGTGCAGTATAGGAATGACATGCAGTGCACACTGCCAAGTGCGCTGACATCCTTGGTGATGGTTTCGAGACGTGAAACAGCGACAACAGGGCTGGCAGATGTGAGCAGTAGCCAGCGTAAGAAAATAGAATTCTATATCTGATGTATTTTTCTAGGGCCATGAATTTCGAGAAGACGTCTAGCACTCATGTAGGGTTTCGTAGAGGTTGAGCCATCGCTGGAGGTTATCTGGCGATATTGGTTTTATATTCTGGCCGGCCTAGGCTCTCTCTCGATTTCTCGGAAGCGCTTGAAGTAAGCGATCGCGTGCGGATTGGAGACCGTGTTGCTCGGGTTGACATCTTTGCCAGATATAGTCTGCTTGACAGCCGATTCAACCTTCTTTCCATTGATCGTGGTGGGGATCTCAGGAACCTGAATGATGAATCGTGGGACGTGACGCGCAGATAGGCTGGTTTTGATGGCATTGCGGATGGCGTTCACCAGCTCGGGCGTCATTACATGCCCTTCGAGCATCACACAGAACAAGAAGACGTCTTCATCTTTGTCCTGTGGTCTTCGACGTCCAACACACAAGGTCTGTGAGATGTCTTCAGTAAACGGCGGAGCTTCCACGATTGAGTAGATCTGAACTATTAGCACAGTGAAATACGATAACGTCGACGTGCTTACTTCGCCAGAGCCAAAGCGTATGCCAGATGGGTCTATTAAAAGTCAGCTTGGGGCCCGTCTTAGAGGACATCACGGTGCACTGACTCAAGACTCCGTCGCTTCTCCCGTGCATGATGAGACCACCCGTCTTCGGGTTGAACTGCAGCCAGTCGTGCTGAGCCCAGACATCGATGTTGTCGAACCTCTCAAAGTACGACGATCTGTACCTGCTTCCATCCTCATCACCCCAGAAAAAGCACGGCATGCCTGTTTCACGGCCTACATTAGCGAGTAAGTCTGGCCAGTGGGTGTCAATAACTTACTCGCGAAAGGGCGCCGCACGACCATTTCACCTGCTTCACCACTTTCTAGGATGCTCTGGCCTGTCTCGGGATGAGCCACATCGACGTCCATACCAAGTGCGAATATCTGCATTTCACCTACGCGAGACAGTCAGCACAAAGATTCAAAAGATCGCTGATTGGGAGCTCCTACCAGCATAGACTGGCCCGGCGGGATCAGCAGCGATCAGAGATGTCGCCGTGTCTGTTCCTCCAGCAGTATTGCAAAGATGCACCTGAGAAGGAAATGACCGATAGAACCATCGGTATTGTTCGGCCTGGCAGCGTCAATCTTCAATTGCAACGAAGCCGTACGAAAGCGATAGGCGTTCAATGACACTTACCGAGAGAGTTGCTCCTGTCGTATAGACAATCCTCAAAGATTTCAGGTCAAACTCCTGCTTAGGAATGGTCTTGGACATTTCGAGTTCCAGAAGATACCTAGGCGAGGAGCCAAAGTACGTGACGGCATATTTCTCACACATTCTGAGCAGCTGTTTCGCATCAGGATACATCGGGCTCCCATTGTAGACTATCGTCGTTGCACCACTGAAGACGAACCAGTCAGCGAGCGGTCAGCAGCCTTGAGGCATGCACCGACCTGGCGAAATACTGAAAGAGAAGGGTCAGCAGCGATTCCTCGCTTGGTTGTGACGGGAATACATGGCTGATCAGCGAGATCTCTGGCGTTCGGCCGAGCTCTCCGATAGCACTCCCAGGATTCGACTCACACCGTTCATGACGTAAAAGACCACCCATGAAGTCGAAGAATACTGCATGATCACGTCCTTGGGCGTGGTATTGTTGTGCACCACGGCAATTTTCTTGAGCTGCAGGATCAGTCCGTGTTGATGAACCTAAAGAGTAATGACTCGAAAGTCAGCGAATTTCTTAGACATTGGCGTGTTTTCCGGTCATTGCTGACGATGCATTTGGGCTCTCCCGTTGTTCCTGAGGAGTAACATATCCTGTGATAGCTCTGATTAGCAAAAGCAGCCTCTCGAGTCCTGCGAGCATGACCTCACATCAAAGGATAATTGAATGGAACTCGCGTGAATGTCAAATCATCTTGAGGATTAGCTTTCCGCAGAAAGTCGTCGAACATGCACAGGTTGGTCGACGACGGCTTGAGAGGCACAATGAAGAGCTGTGGCTGCAGCTCCAGACGCTTCACTACGTTCTCGACTTTGCTGATTGTCGATACCGCCTTTCCCTTGTAGATTGTGTGAGAGTCGGCAAACATGATGGTAGGTCGTACTTGTTTCAAGCGCGAAACACAGCCCTCAAGTCCCAGATCAGGGCTGATGCACGTGAAGATTGCAGCAATGCTGGCAGATGCGTGATACAAGACCTGGGCTGCGATGGATGTGGCTACGAGTGCTGCAACCCGGTCTCCCTTCTTGATTCCACAGTGGCGGAGTGCGCTGGCAGCAATTCTTACTTGCTCGCGAAACTCGGCCCAGGTCAGAATCGAACTCGTGTCCGTGTCGTCTCGAAGGCCGATCAAGGCTGTAGCATCATCATTCGGGTTGGAAAACAGCGCATTCTCGGCATAATTCATCTCATGGCCATGGAACCACTTCGGATTGGCACTCATGGGAATGGTGTCGTCGTAGGCTTTCTTCCCCGGCGGCAGGCGAGGCTTCAGATCTAGGTAGGCATACAAGTCTCTCCAGAAGTCGTGTGGTCTATGCACGCTCCACCGATGAAGATCTCGAGAGGTCCTGAGATTCTGGGAGAAGCGGGTGTTGACATGTCGGCGATATTTGTCCATTGATGTCTGGCCGGGAGTGGGGGTAGTCCAGAGGAGCTCTGGCTCGTCTTTGCGGTCGTTCATGGCGCAAACGACGATGCAATGGTAATAAGTTTGCGAGCAGATATCGTAGAATAGAGGCTACAGCATGACTGGCCGAGTGGGCCGAGGGGGAGCGGCGCGCCTCGCCGCACGAGAGCGTCTCAGCGTGTCTTCCCGCAAGCCCAGCATGAGTAATGCATTGTCTTATATGTGTCCATGAGGTCGAGTCGGTATGGAATAATGTACACGCTCCACGGGCAGGCTTCCAAGAGGCAATGCAATAGAATATCATAGCGTCGGACATGGCCACTTGTTCTTGTGCTTGGCGCAGATCCTGGCCCACGCCCGAGCCCCCTTTGGAGTTTGAAAGACAGACTCGACATTGACATCAACATCGACATTGACATCAACATCGACATCGACATCGACATCGACATCGACATCGGCAACTGCACACCGTCCGATCGCTGTGACACATCTTTGCAATGTCTCGCCAAAATGGCAGTGTCTCCGCACGACACGGCAACGGCATTGTGAAGCAAGTCGCGAATGGCTCGACCATCGCCGGCAAAAATGATATCGCCCTGCCAGCTATTGGCAATAGACACTCGCGAGACTCTGCCACAACATTGAACCTGCTCATATGTGTAGGCGGCATCTACGCGTCTTTGTACGTCTACCTCCTTCATACTGTCAGACTATCGAATACTAATGTGTCCTCAGCCTGACATGGGGTGTCTTGCAGGAACGAATAACGACCACGAACTATGGAACCGAGACCAAGAGAGAAGTGTTCAAATACCCAGTCGTGATGAACACCGTTCAGTCGACCTTCGCCGCAATCCTTGGATATGTCTATGTCTTGGCCACACGCAAAAGCTCAGCAGACCTGCCAGTCTTTCCTTCCAAAGCAATCCTCTGGCCATTGAGCTTAGTGGCCATAACGTCTTCACTGGCCTCGCCCTTTGGCTATGCTAGTCTGCAACATGTGGATTACATCACATTCATATTGGCCAAATCATGCAAGTTACTGCCAGTAATGTTCTTGCATATCACGCTTTACGGCAAGCGATATCCATTCTACAAGTACGCAGTCGTTGCGCTCGTAACTTTGGGTGTCTCCATCTTCACCCTTTACCAATCCTCGGGGAAAAAACCGAAGGGTGCCCGTACCAACAGCACGTACGGACTCACTTTACTCTCCATCAATCTGATCTTCGATGGCCTCACGAATACCACACAGGACGATATATACGCCAGGTTCCGGCCATACACCGGACAACAAATGATGTGCGCATTGAACGTCCTGTCTACGATCCTGACGTCTTGCTTTCTCTTGCTTGCGCCATATCTGGCAGAGTCGGGAATCGGCGGAGTGGTTGGACTAGACCTTACCAAGGGAGCGAACGAGCTATATGAGGCGCTTGCGTTCGTACAGCGGCACCCGACTGTCGGCTGGGATATCCTTGGCTTTGCTGTTTGTGGCGCTCTGGGCCAAGTGTTCATCTGTAAGGACGATTTCCCAAGTTGCCGCATGAATACTGACGCTTTCCCAGTCATGACACTTTCAATATTTGGCAGTCTGTTGCTCGTCACTGTGACGGTGACGCGCAAGATGCTGACCATGATTCTGTCTGTGGTTTGGTTCGGGCATAGCCTCACCAGGATGCAGTGGCTCGGAGTTGGACTGGTATTTGGCGGCATTGGCATCGAGGCGGAACTGAGCAAGCGAGAGAAACGGCGAAAGCTGGGCGAGAAGAAGCGCAGCTGAGGCATATCATGTGCATAGATCATCGAGGCTCAAGAAGTGATGTGAATATTCACGTCGAGTCGAGTCGAGGCGAGGCTTGCACGTTGTGGCGTGGTCGGTGAAGACTACCTAGCTATTTTCCGTTCTGAGACGAACCTGGCTCGCGCCAGCGCCAGCGCCAGCGCCAGCGCCACAACTCTAATAACCCCTGCGCCAAGTCCAATTTCTCTCGCATTACCTATTCGACTTTACTTTACCTCGCCCCCAGCTGATCCTATACCAACACCCACACTCTCTCATATTATTGCTCATAAGACGCACTGTCGCGTGTCAAAAAAAACATGGCATCCGAGCCCGATAATGGGAGCGCAGAGGCGTCCCGCTACATGCAGCGCCTTGCCAAGTTTCGCGAGGCCGATGCTGAACGAGATGCCTTGGTTACACGGATTCTAAAGGACTACGAAGAGCTCAAAGTCAGATACGAAGAGCGAGAAGATGACTACAAGGCATGGGTGGCGACTCGAAATTGTCATCAACGTCGCTGACCGCTACGATAGAACGAAGTCGCATCACGCCGTATGTGGCAGAGTCGGGCGTCGACCTGCGAGCAGAGCCTCCAACGCGCCTTGCTTGAGCAGAAGCAGACTTCCGTTCGTCTTGGGAGGCCCAAGCACCGGATGCACGCGCTGATTTGAAGCAGAGCTCAAACAATTTTGTCTTATGTCTTATCGATGGCGATGGCGCGCTTTTCGAAGATCACCTATATGCCATGGGCCGCGACGGTGGCAGTGAAGCTGCCTACCGCCTTCATACTGAGATACAAGCCCACCTCAAGTCTATTTATCCTGATGCGAACGTCGACGACTGGTCCATCATGGTACAAGTCGTCCTCAACCAACAAGGGCTTGCGAACAAGCTGCAGAACTGCGGTATCATCATGAACCCAAATGAGCTCGCGGCGTTTTCGCGTGCCTTTGGTCTCGCGCAGCCTCTATTCAGTTTTGTGGACGTTGGATCTGGGAAGGAGCGTGTGAGTTCACCTCGGGAGCTCCTGATGGAAAGCTACTGATTAATCTTCAGGCCGATCATAAGATCCGCGAGACCTTTCGACTGTACATGAAGATCTCTCAGTGTAAACATGTCTTCTTTGCACCTTGTAGCGACAATGGCTACTTGCCACTCCTCGAGTCCTACAAGAGAACCTCAGCTTCTCGCCTCACGCTGATCGAAGCGAGACCCGCCGAATCTGGATTCATCGAGCTTGGACTACAGCGAATCAAAATGCCCAGCATCTTCAGGAACGAGAATCTCCCCGGAAAGCCCATTCCAGCTGCATGCTCGCCCTTATCTGCAACGCCAGTCAGGGCGACTTCGACTTCGAGCATTCAAGCCGGCACGACCCCTTTTGTGCCGAACAGCCCTGCGACGTCGCGAGCGCCGTCTGTAGACTCCATCAACTCGACACAGAACTCAACTTGGGCCACCATAGGCAAGAACGGCACTTCGAGCAAGACCATCAGCATTGCACCTAAGAAAAATCCAAACCGGAAGTTCATCCTCCTAAATGCCTACGACGAGCGAATCGATATCGAACTCCCTCGAACCGATCCAGGAGCTGAGGCCCGTTTTGCAGAGCGCCTTAAGAAGGAAGGCAAATGCTGCAACAGCTACCACTTGACTGGAAAGTGCGACGCTGGAGAGTATTGTGACTATCATCATGGCGAGAAATTTACTCCAGGCGAGCTCTTGGTCCTCAAGCATAAAGCGAGATCTCGAAGCTGCCCGAAGAAGTCCGCATGTCGAGACATGAAGTGCACTTTTGGACATCACTGCAAGTACGGACCTGAATGCTATTCAGATGTCTGCTACTTTGTGGACACACATGGTCAGGACCCAACTCCAGCTAAGAGGATGTTCGAAGATGGTAGCGAAGAATGGATCCAAGCTTACTTGCAGAAAGTAGCTCATGCGTGAGCGAGGCTACGCCGATCAGTTGCGTAAGATAAAAAGTTGCGTAAGATAATCACTGGCAAAGGCAAGTGCAGTCCGTCGAGGCTGTGCTCCATATAACATCGATAACATTAAAGCACTAGTATTTCTAAATGAACAAACGTCCAAACGGAGGGCTGTCAGTCAGTGTATACATGCAGGACTGCTAGAATATTGGAACATCTAATCCTACAACAAAGGACGCTGGGCCCATCAAGTGATGTCTACCAGGACCTCTCTACAAGGCGCACAAGGGACTTCCTCTTCTTCAGCCGTATATTTCCAGCATCTTGGACACTTCTTCGCCCTCGGCGGTAGGACGGCTACTTTCCCGTGGACGACATTACCGCCAATATGCAGCTCTACCGGTTGTTCATACCGCCACTCTTCATTTCGCTCTTTGTTGTGAGGGGCGTTGCTTAGCTGCAAAGCTTCTGCTTCGCTGACTACCAGCAAGTTCGCGAGCTCGTCCTTGCGTAGCCAGCTGAATGACGACTCTGCAGGATCGAAATGTGTAGGGAGAGCTATCTCAACTCGGCATGCGAGACCGCTTCCAAGCAGTCCCGCCGTACGAGCTTCTTCTTGGGCGACCTTGACAGCAGCAGAAATTGCCCTGAATAGTGCGAGAGATGAAGTCAAGCCCGCATCAGTTCGGACACCAAGGCTTTCGGCATCGAATGGCGACTTCCATTTTTGTTTGAGAGGATGTATGGAATCATTAGCGCTCTCAGCAGTCGACTTCATGCTTGCCGGCATCCATTCCCAAACTTCCTCAATGAGATGAGGTGTGACTGGGCCAAGCATTCTGCACAATTCTTGTAGGATGACCATCAAGATCGTCTGCGTATGTCTTCTAATAGCCGTGGATCCAGTATACAGCCGGTCTTTGATGATCTCGAAATAAAATGCGCTCAAGTCGCTGTTGATGAAGCGATTGATTTCCGTGATACAAGCGTAGAATTTGTAATCAGAATAGGCGCTGAACACTGTGCGGCTGCAAACACTTAGCTGCTGCAAGATGACACGATCCGCGAAGTCCAACTCCGACAGGAGATCATGCCTGGGCTTTGCATCTGGATAATTGTGCAAAACTCCAACAAGGAATCTGAAGGTCACACGATACTTTTGCAAAGATTGTTGCACGCTCTGGAGAACAGGCTGGGAGATGGCAACATCCTTGGTGTAATCGGACGAAGCCACCCAGAGACGAAGCACGTCTGGACCTAGGATACCTTTCTGGGCTTTGGTGGGAGGCGCCTGCTTGTGCTTCCCAGCTTTCGTCCTGCCCTTGGTCGACTGAACCAGCACGCCTGAGATGATTTCATCTGGCGAGACAACATTGCCAATACTCTTGCTCATCTTTCTCCCGTACCCGTCTAGTGTAAAACCGTGCGTCGTCAAGGTCTTGAATGGCGCAACGGGCTTTTCATCCGCGCTCTGGGCTGCAATGGCAGTCAATAAACTGCTTTGAAACCAGCCTCGATGCTGATCGGTGCCTTCAGAATACACGTTGCTTCGGGGAAGTCCATCAGTTCTTCTCTCCAGTGAGGTCCAGCTGGTTCCAGAATCGAACCACACGTCCATCGTATCACTACCACGGATCCATTTTCCAGGCTCAAGAGTGGGATGTAACCAAGCAGGCTCTGCCTTCGCGTCAGAAAACCATGCATCTACGCCTCGCTCTTCTATGACGGAGATGATGTGGTGAATGCTCTCGTCGGAAATGCACGCTTCTCCAGTGTCGACATGGTATAATGCCGGTATAGGCACTCCCCATGCGCGTTGTCGCGATATACACCACTGGCTTCTGCCTGCTATGAAGCTCTCCAGCCTGCTCTTGCCACTTTCAGGAATGAAATGTACAGATTCGAGGGCTGCCAACGCTCTATCCTTGACGGCGGAGATATCAGCAAACCACTGTGCCGTGGCACGGGTGATGACTGGCTGTTTCGTTCGCCAGTCGATGGGATTCTTGTGTGTGAATTTGTGCGCAATTAATAAAAGTGGGCTGCGACTGGTGTGCACGGTTTCTGGTAGCAAGCTTCGGGGTGACCGCAGCACATCTAGCACGGCTGTCACGCCTTGAGTCTGTGCATCGAGGCCATGGAAAGGTGGAGCACTATCCACCGTTCGAGGAAATGCATCCACGGTGTATCTGCCTTCGTCATCTACAGGCGCAAAAGCTGGCCCAACGCCTTGCGCTTGACAGACCTGCCAGTCATCAATTCCATGACCTGGAGCAATGTGGACAACTCCGGTACCAGATGTTGCTGTCACGAATGGCGCCTCAAAAAGCGGAGACTCGGAGTCTTGGAAAATGTTGTAGCAGCAGCCACCCAGTTCATGTCCAGAGATGGCATCAATAACAACCTCCAATCGCGTGCCTTCGGGGAGATGAGACAAGACATGCTCAATTCGCTCTTTGGCTACTAAGAGTTGGTCTTGGCCGGCGGCGAGATTCGATTCGTCAGCAATTGATATGACAGAGTACTCGATGTCACTGCCAACCGCAATGGCTTTGTTTGCAGGCAATGTCCATGGCGTTGTTGTCCAGATGAGGGCGCTGATCGTGTCCGGTCTGATGCTCGGGTTCGCCTTGAGCACATTCGGAAGCTTTACAAATGGCATCTTCACAAAAGCAGCAGTACATGTGTGACTGTCATCGTACTCTAGCTCAGCTTCCGCAAGGGCCGTCCGCGAGGAAGGTGACCAGTATACCGGCCGATGATGTCGTGAAATGAGGCCTGTTCTTAACTTAGCATGCTTTAGAGATCATCCTGTCTGCGCATCATGCCATTTCACCTTTTCTGACCATATCTCCGAACACGTCCAACTGCCTGAGCTCAAATGTTTTGTCCATAGTTCTGTATGGCCTATCCCATTCACCCATCACACCCCATTCCCGAAAGCTCTTCTTTTGCAGCTCAATTGTTTCCGTAGCCAACTTTCTTGCAGCAGCTCGAATATCAGCAGCACTCATTTGCTGGCTCAAAGCTGTCGCTACCTTTGCTTCTTGCCTTGGGGCCTTTGGCTGCTGCAAGGCCTTGAGCTCGATAGGAAGGCCGTGGCAGTCCCATCCTGGCGTGTATTGTACCCTCCTGCCTCTCGATAGTTCAGAGCGCAACATGAGGTCTTTTAGGATTTTGTTTAGCGCATGTCCGACATGCACCGCGCCATTGGCATATGGCGGACCGTCGTGAAGCACGAACTCATTGCACTTCTCATTGCCATCTCTGTCGACAATGGTAGCGGGACGGTGCTGCCGCTGCCAGGCATAGAGGTCATCGGCGCATCGCTTACGATATTGTTCGATCTGCTCAGGACTTGGCCGAGCTGGGAATTGTGATTTGGGAAGCGCGAGAGTGTCAGACCAGCTCTTTTTCGTCCGCGCAAGCTCTCGTATCTTGTCAAGCAAATTTCGATCGGTATGCGATGCGGCTCTGATGATGTGTGTGGCAGCGAACGCCGGCATGCTCAAGCACGAATGGCATTCATCGACTTGGCCATTATTTTCGAGTGCAGCGGTGGAAGTTTGTGGTGCTCGGCTGCACTTGCCCAACACCACGAAGCTGGAGCGTAGTCACGAGCAGTCACAATGTCAACGATATCGCCATAACAGCCATAATCACGATCATAATCTCATCGCCATCGCCATAACCATAGCAAGAATCATAATATCATCGCCATCACCATCACCATCACCATAATCGTAGTATCAATGCACCGCAACGCACTGCTATACTCTTCATCTTGATGCTCCCAATGTGTGATTATGATTTCAACGCCAACATGAGTGCAATTCATACGGTTGTCGCAGCTCACACTTGATGCATCGCTTGCGCTTTCAGCTGCTGTATCTCTTCCCGCAAACTGCTGATAATGAACGCGTCCTTTTCTCGTTCACGCCTCACAGCCTCATCGACAGCCGCCTGGTAAGACTCGCTGATCGCCGCACTTCCCGTGGAGAGAGCCTGACATTTCCACTCCTGTATTTCAGCTTTCAACGACTCAATCTGTTCGTGCAGTCTCGACCGCTCGCCAGCTTCAGTATCAGCAGGGCTTCGCGCCTCGGAGAGAGCGAACGGCGCAGCCTCGTGCCCTAGCCGTACTCTCGGCAGCTCTTTCGATGACTGGGCTGTCTGCTGGCCCAGCGCTGGCTCACTTCTCTCTAGACTGCACGAGACTTCCTGTACCAACTTCTCCAAAGACGCGATTTGCCTCGCCTGAATATCGAGTCGTGAGGTGAAATGCTCTCGCTCCTGCTCCATCGTCCTTTGTACTGCTTCTAGTCGTCGAATCTCTTGTCTTCGAAGCAGAAGGACTGCGTCTTTTATCTCATTGCCTTCGTCAATGTCGGTCCGCAGTCGGTCAGTAATGCTGTGCTCATCATCGACTCGTCTCAGCATCCCACGCTCTAAGCTCTCGGCGAGGAGATGCTGCGCAGGCCAATTCACAATGCTTGGGCGTCTTCCTTGTTCCGGGTAAGTGAATATCAAAGCGCGAACCTCTATACTTTCTCTCGTCGGCGATCCAGCGGGAACAGCTTCGGGTGGCATGTCGAAGGCCGTGTGAAGGCACGTTTTCGCCGGCCTAAAAGCGGAGGGAACGAGGGTCAGCGTGTGTTCCCAAAGGAGAACATATCGGCTCCAAAAGCAAAGGCTGAGGCTAGCAACCTGTGTCTGAGACAGCGACCCCAGCTGCAGTCACATGGCGGAGTCACGCCTCGTACCCTTCGATATACTCACATGTCAGCGGCGCTATCATAGTTCTTGAACAGCAGTACGTCATCCTCATCCTGTTCGGAGCAATAGTACCCTGTAAGACCACGGTCATCGGTGTATGCTCTGGACATTGTTCATCTCTCATCGTCGTTCTTACACTCGAAGCCCGCTCGATATTTGGAGACACCCATCGTATCGTGGTACGCATTGTTGTCTGCTCGATACCGATCACACTCCAAGATATCACCATCCTGAAGCTTGCCTGCATCGACAACAGCGAGTCCGCAGTCAAACACTGGATGCTTGATCGGCCTCCAGATGTTGATGATCCTGGCTCGTCCGCTCAGCAGATAGTCGGCCTTCATTTCAGTCAGGTTTCTGATTTTTGCAAGGACGCTCCGTTCGGTATTGTCGGCGTGGACTTGTTTTGCGAATGGATTGTAACTCAGGCCTTCCACACGAAGACCACTGTCGTCTGAATGTCGTATGCGAGCATCGTAGAACATGATCTCATCGCAGCCTTCGACTTCACGCCTGAGCAGAACTTCCAATTCTGGCAGATAGTCCTTCCCGATGGCTGCTTGTGAAGACCAATTCGTGAAGCTTGTTGGTGCTTTGACGTAAAGAAAGCCATTGCCATCTAAGGAGAACTTTTCTTGTCGACCGCGAACATCATGAATTGTTTCGAACGGGCCAGGCGCTAATGTGACATTTGTCTTATTGTCTTTGTCAGCGAAGTTGGGCGTTATCTGCAATGGCTTCTCTTTGGCATATATTGGATCGTCCTTGAGATATTGCAGCTTCACCTTAATGTCACGCCGTGGTTGCGACTTTCGAGGATCAGTACCAGAGCACGAGTCCACTGCCGCGTGGGCTCTGTCCGCTCCGTTGCTCTGTCTTGACATGGCCCGAGTTGATAGTTCTACAGTCTATCACGCTGTCGCCGGAGTCCCGGATGTCGAGGACGATATGATCTGTTCTGTCAATGATCGGGGAACCCTGGGCCCTTCGAGGCTTATCTTGGCTTGGGCTAAAGCTACGTGGACGTGAGCTTTCTGGCGTTGCAGGTTGCAGCTTGACATGCAGCGCGGAGTGCTGGTCCGACCAATGTCTGAAGGATTGTAATTACTGCTTAGAGCAAGTGCAGACGCTGATGCGGAAAGAGGCAAAGCTGCACAGCTCATCAGCCCATTCATGGGAAACATGAACCTTAGGAATGGTCACACCGAAATGCCGTAGGTCTGACGTGTCAAGCAGCAATGTGGTTCACAAGGTAAAGGCAAGGCGAAGCTGTGACATGCTCGTCAGGCCCGTCCTTACACCGTGTCGCGATGCACCACTCCGCTATACATGCTAAGGTCTAGCCTAGCCACGTCTTCGTCATCTTCGCAGATTGCCCGTAGCCAGGCCACGCCCCAGGCCGTAGACCACGCTCTGCCGATAGCAATGGGTGTTGAAGGAGTGGGTTCGAAGGCTCGCAGCGGCCTCACGCAGGTACGCGTCCAGGCTAGTATGGCTCTAGAAGTCCAACACGAGCCAATTTGATGCCCACATGCGTACAGGGTGGTGAATGGTGTTGCAGAGGCGTGGAATGAAGCTATAGGGAGAGGCGTAGTCGTAGCCGTAGTCGTGTGCAGGGAGGGGCCAGGAGGACAAGGACGGAGCGCGTCCCGAAGTGCAACCATGTTACGAGTCACCAGGTGTCTGAAGGGCGAAACACCATCATTGTAATACAACCGCAACCGCACAATGAGTCGACTACCGTCTGCGCGCGGAAGCTCGGCGCGACCGTTGAGCATGTTCGAAGCACCGACCGACTACATGAACAGCTTGAAGCAGACGGGCGAGGCGGGCAAAGGGAGTGAGGGTGTCGCGACATCGAACCAGTCGAAGAGGAGGAGTCTCCTTCCGCAGTTCTCGTCGGCGCGGAAGGAGATCGACGCCATACAAGAGGATGCATCGCAGAGCAGTGCGCGCGCATCGCCAGAAGACAAGGCGCAGGATGATAGGAGGGCCATGCCTCCTCCTGCGCTGAAACCACCGAGGCCTGCTCCGCGCGAAGGCCATGCCATTCCTGCACGCACGAGCAGTCATATGCGATTGCCGGGATCCGTGACAGCAGCCAAAGCAGCGCCGTCTGCCCATGCCCGCACTGCTTCGCGCGATGGGAGTGTGATCCCGGCAATCGCATATGCCTCCTCCTCCTCCTCCTCCTCCTCGGCGTCCGCTGCTGCTGCCACTGGCATCAAGCGCACTGCCTCTACCAGGCTCCCACAGTCCCCTGGCCCACGTACTTCTTCCCAGAGAGCACCTGGCCTCGCCAATGCCGCTGCCAATGTTATCCCGACGGCGCAGAAACGAGCTTCCGCCAGTCTTGCAAAGCCCCCCGTGCTCAATACCTCGATACCAGCTTCACACGCTCTGCCTACGCCTACGCCTACGCCTACGCCTACGCCTAGCTCGCCCACGCGCTCAGCGACGTCAACTGCTCCACGACCTCGTTCAGGCTTACCTCCGCCCTCGAAGCCAGCCTTCAACACCTATCAACAACACTACAGCCCTGTTAAATCTGCCTTGCCCAAGCCACCCATTCCGAGCGCCAAGTCGCTGAAGCAGCATGCACCAGGACCAGAAGATGAGCCTGTCAGCTTCGAAGGGGCACTCGAGCAGATGGAACTGCTGCAGCTGTCTCTGCTACATCAACAGGCTCTGCCGACTCTCGCACGATATGAGGCAAGTGCTAAGCAGAAACTGGGAAGTATGCACGCGAAACTGCAGAAGCAATACACCCTGATTCACGAGCAGGAACAGGAGCACAGAAGACAGGCCAACCTGAACGCATTTCAATCCTGGTGTCCTGATACTGCTCTTCTAGCGGAGCATCTTTCATCACTCAGTCGGGTGATCTCTGATCTTCGAGCTCACACAGAGCCCGGGAGCAGATACTCAGGATTGGTCGAGACCTTTGAAACGTGGGCAGACCGCGCGGAGTCCATCTTGATGGATGCCCATCCCGGAGCAGCGTTCATCGAAGCACTCCCTGAGTCATGGAGAGCGACGCATACTTCACTGGCGTTGAACATGCGGTCTATACAGCGTGATATCAGCATGCTTCCTCCACTCCCGCCAAGAAGTGATGCCGAGGACCCTTCAAGCTTGGAAATCATGATCGACGATTGTGTTTTACTGGTTGACGGCATGCTCAAAGAATTAGAAGTGATGACCAAGCTTCAAAAGGAGGTTTTGCAGCGAGGGAAAGCTCGCATCGACGAGCAGATCAACGCATTAATGTCGACCGGAGTCGAGAATCGCGCACAAGAGAAGGAAAATTGGCAGCCGGCGTGGCTCAATGGTGGCTGAAGGAAGAGGAGCGATGATTGTGTGGGATGATGAGTTGATGAGTGGCTCTTCCCGGCAGAGTGATTGAGATCTTAATTGTTTACGAGCTAGCGAAGATACCCCACGTATGACCGATTCGACACATGTTCGCCCTTATGCAAGGCCCCTACTCACGCCGTCTGTTGTTTGGTTTAGTCTGTCGCGCGACTACATGCTGCCTTTGACCGATACTTCTGCTGCACACCTCCTCCTCGTAGCGTGCAAAGTGCTCATCGTGATCCAATCTCACTTGCGCATGTGCATCCAACTCGAGATGTTGCAGTTGCCCGGAGCGTCCTCATACGTGTAAGTACACTGGAGGATGCATGGCATGACTCCGCTGAGTGACAGCAGCTACGGTCGCCGTCTCAGCCACGGTAAGCTGGTCTCAACCTGTAGGTTTGGAGTCGACCGGCCCTCCTTTTGCGACACAAGCTGACCTTTGTTTCCGAAAGGAATGTGTAGAAGACGATCGTCAATGCGGATCCAAGTGGAATGATCAATATGCGCCATCACGAAGAGCCGAGAAGCAAGTCATGATACGATTGCGATAATTGCATGCCTCTTGGTCCAGTATCGACAAGCATAAAGCCGTCGGTGACTTGATAACCTGATATCTGGCGAGTTTCAAGTGCCGCCGAGCTTGGTCTTTCCATACGCGCCGCCCATTTTCTTCCTCTCTTCCAGTGCAGCACGGTAGGGAGGTGCAGTTGGGGGCTGAACGGGATCCAAGCTGACATGTCCCTCAGGTAACTTGTGGCTCGCGTCTGCATCAAAAGCACTCAAATCTCCACAAGCTAGGAAAGGTGCGATCCATCTCGTCCCTTGCCCAGAATCTCCTTGAGTGTCCATATGCAACTCCGTGACTCCATCCTCACGCTTGACTCGTACTCCTCTCGCAGCCTTCTCTATCGACTCTCCGTAAGGCTCCAGCTGTCGGGTGGTCCCAAGAGGGTTGTCAAGACTAGCCTTGAATCCCTCCGGAGGTCTGAAGTTCGTACATACGATGAAGGCCTCAACACTGCTTGCTCGGCTACTCCTCGGCTTCGCAACCGTGACGCCTTCGAAAACGGTCTTGAGCTGTGCATACAAGATGTTATCGTTATCTTTTCCGCGAAATGTCTTTGCAATGAATTTTCCGCCTGGCTTTAGTACGCAAAGTGCCAGGTTCAGAGCAGCCCAGAGGAGTTGTGATTGTACGTAGATATCGAGATCGTGCAAACCTGTGACATCGGGGGCACCATCTGATATGACAAGATCGACGGGCTGTGAGGCTTCAGTCGGAGATGTCTTTGGGTCGTAGCCGGGATCGAGAGCCTTGAGCAAGAGGGGTATGGTCGATGGATGTGTGATGTCGGCTTTCAAGCACACAATGCCCTCCAGGGGCGACATGGGCTGTAGATCGATGGCCACGATCTTGACATCCGTCCTTGGAGACGTTACCGGCGCCTCCAGTGGCTCATTTGGACCTCCGTTTTCTTCGTGATACTTGAGTAAAGCTTTGTATCTCTTGTCTTCCCAAGCAGCTCGACCGATTCTTTCACCTTGGATGAGAATTCTGGAAAGCACTTGGGACCAGCTTCCAGGAGCAGCGCACAGATCAACGACACGAGTGACGCCTTCGAACAGGTTGAATTCTTCGTCGAGCTGGAGCAGCTTGAAAGCTGAGCGCGCTCTCCATCCTTGCTCTTTTGCCAAACGGTAGTAGGCGTCTCGCTTGTCTTTTGATGATTTCCCCATGCTCCACGACTCACTTGGGCTTCGTAGAATGTGAGTGGGATGAGAACTGTAGGCCAGGCAGGTTTTATGCAGGTGTAAAATTCGACCAATCAAAAATTCATGTCCAAATTGATGGCTTGCATCTACCTATATAGTACTAGGTACCTAGATCGGCAAGGCGCAAACAGATCTACGATGTTTCAGTGGCCTTCATTGTCGGAGATTGAGAAATGAAGTGAAGGAGTGACTGAAACGATGAACCCGTAAATGTGACTATGTACAAGCTGTGGCCGTAATCTCAACTGATTGGTATCATATCGTGTCCCATTCATGCATCTTCATCATAATCTTGTGAACTCCACGTAAATGCTTCGACAAGTGCTGCTGCGATGCGATCAATTATCCGATCATGGAGCCCTTGCGTGGCTCAGTGCCCTGATAGCTATATCCTCCCATGTCCACTGGATTAACGGGGCCCAAAGAGTTTCTGCGCACCTGCTCGACGTCGACCACCGACAGACGCTTCTCGTCCCAATGAACGGTCTGAACAGCGCCACCAAGAGCGCCACCCTCGAGTGTAGTAGCAATCATCTTCTCGCCCTTCACACGTAGGATGTGGAAGCCGTGGCCGACCCAGTGCTTGGCAACGTAGGCGAGGACGATAACGAAGCCAACAAGTGGGACGATGTAAGAGACACGAGTGCTAGCAGCGTCGGCAATGGCACCCTGGATCGGCGGAAAAACAGCCCCGCCAGACACGCCCATGACGAGGATTCCTGCACCGCGTCGAGTGTTTTTGCCCAGGTTGGCAGTACCGAGAGTGAAGATGGTCGGGTACATGGGGGCCATGAAGAAGAAGATGCAAATGAGGACCGCAACGGCTGGAGTTCCAGAACCAGCAGCGACGTATGCGTTGAGAGCGATGGCGCAGCATGCGTAGATGACCAGGAGGAAGTTGGACTCAAAGACAGTGGCGAGAGCGGTGGCAATGAATCGACCAACAGTGAAAGTGATCAGAGCGTAAGAAAGCATATTGGAGGCCTGGGCGCTGCTGAATGTCGCGTTCTCGGTAGCATAGTTGATGAAGAACGAAGCGCAGGTGACCTGGGCACCGACGTAGGCGAATTGTGCAATGAAACCACCAATCATATTCCATTCCTTGTAGAGTGGCTTCTGGGTGATCACATTGCCATAGTAGTCGACAGCCACATCTTCCGAGTCTCCGGCGGCGATAGATGCAGAGCGAACAGCGGCTTCTTGGACCTCAGGAAGCTTGGAGAAGAAGAACAGGACTGCGACTGCCGCACCAGCACAAGCAACAGCCAGGTAGACGTACTGAACATTGGTCAAGCTATGCTGGTTTGCGCCGGTGAAGAAAGCCTTGGAAGCGATGAGTGGTCCAACGAATGAAGCAACGCCGTTCCAGCTTTGGCAGAACTGGAGACGAGCTGAAGCAGTTGCCGGGTGACCAATGACGACAGCGTACGAGTTGGCTGCAGTCTCGAGAGTGGCAAGACCGCAAGCAATAACGAGTGTGCATGCGAGGAAGCCTCCGAAGGAAGCCTTCTGGTTGGCTGGCTTGGAGAAGTGAGCCACGGGCCAAAAGAAGATAGCGCCCAAACTGTAGAGGGAAAGACCCATGAGGATGGTAAACTTGTAGCCCTTGCGCTTCATCACCTCAGCTGCGATTGGCGAGAACATGAGATAGCCACCCCCGAAATACATCACTTGCAATCCGGTCGACTCAAGCTTGGTTACGCCCAAAACCGACTGAAAGTGCTGTGGGAAAGGAGAATGATCAGTTACGATTGCCAGATGCGAAAGGGAAATGCGCACCTTATTTAAGACATCGAGCAGGCCATAGCTGAATCCCCACAAAAAGAAGAGACTAATGACCAAGGCCAATGGGTAGATGAGCTTCCTTCCAGTAAGGTAGCCTCCTGCGATGCCTGGAGCATCGGTTGGAACACCTCCGCCAGCCATTGATGCTGATGTGAGAGGGTTTGATGAGGGGGATGGTGGGTATGGGCGTGAGCGATTCGTGCCGTTCGTCGGCTGATAGTATTGCTGAGTCGATTTCAAAAGGGGCTCGGATGGCAGACTAGAGATGCTGCGAGTGAATGATGGATGGCCTGGGTTTGCTGGAGCTGGTGATGAGTGACCAGACTAGGGTTGTTGGATGGTCGGCGTTGCTGGATGATGGGAGAAATCATGATGGGCAAGGTGGGCGACTTATATGCTGCGGATGTGTCAGTTGATGGCAGAGCATAGCAGAGCGACATGATATTGCAGTGCAGTCCAGAATGAACTGTGGGGATAAGCTTTGCGCTACTGCAGGCAAGATCTTTGCTTGGCGATGGGGCTCCAGCTCCAGTCTCCAGACAAGCTGGATTCGGACGAGGTGAGGGGTCTTGCAATCGGGCCGCGAGGGCAGCCACACGCAGCGCGCCTCGATTCGATTCTGTTGGGCGGTGACTCGGTGAGATTGCATGCCCATTGCCCATCCCATCCTGGAGTTTCGCCGGCGCCAGGCTGGAGACAGGCAACATGCGGCTCTGCGTGATGAATGCAAGTACCCTTCAGTTGCCGGTGGAACGGGCGTAGAACGCGGGCCGTTGGTTCTAGCGTGCTTCTGTTCGGCCCTTCTCCGCGCAAGAAATGGAATTCTACAGCGTCGCGACCGTGTACGAGGCGCTCAACCACCTTACCAGGCGTCGACGAACGACCAATAGTCCTGCTCAGAATTTCCACAGCCTTGCCTTGCCACGATGCTGGATTCCTCAGACCCTCCACACGTGACACGCCTCTCCGCGCTCCGCGCTCCACACTCCGCACAACGCACCTCGTGGAATATGTCTCCATGTGATCCGCACTGCTAAGTGGCATGCGTCCAGTATGGACAGTACATGTACGTACAGGCGCATTCAATTCGGTAAAGGCTTCCTTCCCAGCCAAACATGCACGTTCCACCGCACATACACGTCGTGCTGAGCCTCCTCCTTGAGCTGGTTGATCTTCTCGGTGCATTGCTCCTGTGACAAGTCGTGCTTGAGATTGGGGAAGAAAGAACTCATGGCACCAATCTCCACCAGGCTCCAAGCTCTTCGCATGTCGGGAATGCGATCAGTACTGGTGACCTCTTGCCGGACATGCTGAAATCCACGATTCCTCAGAATCTCTTCAAGCTCTCTCGCCGCATACGACCAATGCTTGATCTGCGGCCGCATGATGCCGTGCAGCTCTTCGTGCACATGTGCTTTCGTGCGCGGCTCATTACGTAGCCAGCGAGCACCTCCGAAATCTGCTTCGAGCCACTGCACCCATCCACCAGGTTTCAGCATACTGAACACGTTATCTGCGATCTCTTCAGCAATCACGGTCAGAGACGGAAGCGACAAACATGGACACACCTGTAACGACCTCCCAGTCCTTCTCGTTCATCGCGCTGTTCAGATACCGCAAGTGTATCACATCATATCGATTTCTGACTTCAGGAGGAGGAGGAGTGGCCTTCGCATCGAGCACTTTGAGAGATACGTTGTCCGGCAGATCTTGCGAGTATTGGTCGGGCGATAAATCGAAGCCGTCAAAAGACATCGTTGTGGGTAGTTGGCTCGCAAGATCGAGGACAACGATGCCCGTGCCCGTGCCCATGTCTGCGATTCTTGCATTCGGTTCAAGCGATTCTTCAATGTCTGGATGCAGAAGGTATCCAACTCTGTAGGGTGAGTGCGTCAGTCTGCTGCATGGTCTGTCGTTGAATCTTGACATTCGCAACTCACGTCTTTATCAGAAGCTGATGTTGTCTATCCAGCCTAGATTATTGTCAGCACTGCGTTTTGTGATGATGCATCAGAATCGTTACCGTTGGCTCTCGGCGCCTCCTCTTCTCAGCCAGTACCCATCCTTGCCAAAATGTCCGACGTCCTCTTGATGCGCATTGGCATCTTGTGCTCGAGGAAGACCAATATCACCCATTGTAATTCTTTCCAAATTTGACTAATTCCTGCTGGGGTTTCCACTTTTTCAAAGCTGGCCAAGTTCTAGCAATCCGAAACACTTGATGATGGTGGAAAAGACAGACTGCTTTGTCGCACCACAGGACAAAGTGTCTGAACTATCCATGACAATAATATGTAGTTGATAACAACACGATTTGACCCGCGGTTGGCGTCCATACCAACGAGCTGACACTCAGTTCCACAAAACGCCATGATCCAGGTCAGGCAGTGATAGTTGTACCAAGCCCAGCTAACGACGACATCCAACGCTCTAATCGAAGCATGGTACTGCGATAGCATCGACTCGAAGACATCCTACCTCGGCATAGTTTGTATCGGGAAGAGCCAAGGCCGAACACCTAGACTTTCTCTTCACTTAAGCATCGTCAGTGTGCATATCCAAAGCACGAGAACAGGTTAAAATAGCAGTGATCTGCGATCTTGCACGAGCCCTTTCCCGATATACTTTCTCTTTGGCGCCTCAGACAGCCTTGATCGGTTGTTACTGTGTTATTCAGACCTCAGTCCTGTCTGAGAATACACTTTCACGATTCTGCCGCGCCTTGGTTCGCAGATCTTAGACACATGGTAGAATCATAGGCATGGCCGCATGGCATTTATGGTGGGGGAGTGAATGACACGAAAGAAGTGTTGTTATGTGCGACGGTTGTAGCCGCGAGCAGTATGCTATAGCTGACGGGTATGTTGATTCGGTGCCTGGAGACATGCAGCAAGAACTATGCTTGGGAGCGGCCCTTGACGAGGATGACCGGCCCATGGAGCTCGATCTTCCAACCAGCATTCTTCAACGCTTTGCCGACAGCAGGACCAAGTTTACTGCGTCCGCCTTCGCTATGCGTCCCGCGACCTACAACGACTTCATAGCCAGCATGTCGATTTGAAGCGCCGATTCTACCATTAGCACGGTCTTCACCGAGCGCTACCCACCATTCCTCGACCCTTTGCTCTACAATTCTCACGGCATTCCGTACATCTATCCCATGAAGATCCAGCTGGTTCGGTGTGGATTGCGATTCGGCTCGTTGGTCGGCAACAGCAGCAGATGCCGCCGTAGAAAGCGCGGTAAGGTTGCGATATTCCTGACCATAATAAGCAGCAGCACCACCCATCAATCGATCAGACTTGGCTTTTCGATGTGCCGCGAAAGCCTGAGCCAGTGCCGCGCTCCTAGCAGAAGCGTAGGCAGACGCGCGCTGCGCAACATCGATGTCCGCGGATGGGTTCGTGCTGCCGGAGTGCCCAGGCGCCTTCGACACCGCTCGTGCCGTATCAATACCAAGTGTCTTACTGTATGGTCGCTCATAAATCGGAACAATTTCGATGCCGCCTCGCTCATTAGGACGATAAGTCAAGGCTTTGGCCAGCTCGTGTGCTGCTGCGGTAGAAGGATAAGTTACGCTTACCAAAGCTGCAACATAATCCGATCTGAGGCTTGGGAATTCGAGATGTAGTTCGTGAGCATTGACGGCTTTGATTGGATCCTCCTCTATTGCTTCGTTGCCTTCCGCCAACTTGGTCTTGAGCAATTCGCCTATTGTCTTCGGGATCGAAGCACCACATTTGTGATACTTTGGCCCTACTGTAGCCGTCTCAAGACCCATGCGTGTCGCGATGAACTCGATGTCGTTCTTTGAGTCTTTCCAGGCATTATAGGTTGACGAACTAGCGTGAAAAGGTGAAGATGGAAGAGAGCCAGATCGCGGTTCGCCAACTGCTCCGAGACCCTTCTTCCTTGCCTTGCCTTTGCGACCACGTCGCCCGGTGTTTTCTTCCGAAAAGGCGTCTATACCCTTCGCTAGAATTTTTGTGCCGTCCTCTGAAGATTCTTGGAAATGAACATGGTTCAGAAGCTCGTCTATAGCTCTTTCAAAACCCCCATTACATTTTTTCAACGTAAATGCGATCTGAGACTGAGTGACGCGGCCGTCTAATACCTGCCCCAATAATTGAATTTTCGTTTCGTTGTCCTGTGTCTCCAATTCTCTGGCGATATCGTTGTCTCCCAATATGCTGCCACCTTCTGAACGCCGGTCGAGGTCAAGTGAGCTCAGATCAGTTGATAGGCTGATAAGGTCTGTCTCTCTTGACAAATTTTCGCTTGTCTCCGGACATGATTCTGGCCGAGCGGGCAGTTCAGCCCCATGATCTTGAGCCCCCGTGCCAGAGGGATCAAAGGCTAACTGTTCTTCCAACAATGCCGACTCCTTCAGAGGATCCAGTACCTCTCGAGCTTGCTTTACCTCTCTTTCTTTTGTCAAATCGTGATCTGACAGGATTGCCGACAACAATGCTGTGTCCAACGGAGGACAGTACTCTGCCTCCAAGGTCGCGTATATATCATCCATCCTCGATATCGGGGTGTCTGATTCTCGAGCCTGCCGTGCTCAGAGGCAGCTCCATACTGATGGGCGATAGTAGGTCATTGGGATGAGGACTGAAGAGATCTAGGCTTTGGCTGAGCATGTGGGAGGTCTTGGTGGTGTTTTGGGGGAAAATGGTCGAGGGTCGAGTCTTCAGATGACGCGCGGAGCGAGCAAGGATCGTGCGGAGCTCAAATTTGGCACAGACCCGCAGCGAGACCCTTGCGGCGAGAGCTACCAGCCAGGCAACCAAAAGACAACATGTACTGGGCTTGGACTTGGACTTTGGATTTGGGGATTGGTCATGGTCAAGGCAATCATAGCAGTCAGTCACGAAAGCGTCCACGTGATCTTGATGAGCAGTGTTACAGATGCTGGACTGAAATGATGCTTGTGAGCACTTCTCATGATCCTGTTTTGTCACCACCATGCTTCTTCTTGGCACTCCCACCACCACTCGTTCTCTGCCTGCTGCCCCCGTCCCCCGTCTCGCCAGCGGAGCCTTGAGCGCCGCCTTCTTGCTGCCCTCGAGGTTGCGAGATGTCGCGGTTCGCGGGCGAGACGTTGAGCGGATCATTGGAGTTCTGTTTGGTCAAATCCGTCAGTCGCTAGCCCGCCTTGATCAACATAGATAGCACTTACACCTCCAGTCTCTTGTCTTGCGCTCTCCTGCTGTGCCTCAGGGCTCGTCTTGGAAGCATCGAAAGCTACACTCTCTGTGGCCGCCGCCGCTTGGTCTCCTCCTGATTTGCTGTACTCGTTCGAATGGGGCTTCAGACTGTCTTTGTCCTGACTATCTTTGTAAGGATGTTGTCGTCTCGAAGTGCTTTGGTATTGGCGTATTGCAAGAGTGTAACGGCTTGCACGGATGCGTGGATGGAGAAAGCGACGGCGCATTGTTGATGGCAGCATCTTGCTGGCTTGCGGGAAATGACTGAGATCTTCTCCAATTTGCTTGATACGTGTAGGAGTAATGGAAGAGAACTTCTTTTGACTACAAGTCGTTTCGGAGCTTAGTAAAGATGGAGTCAAAGGAGCGGTGCAAAGAGCATGTGCATCATCCCGGCATTGGCATTGACTGACGACTGGGTGACATCAGAGTGGCCGGAGGCGAGTCCGTCAGAAAATGGCATCTGCTTTCGGATGGCATCTCGAAAGACTAGTATTTTGCCTTGATACTACTCTCTCAGTTCAGCCCTCATTCAAGAGACACAGTCGAGTGTCATGTGCCGACCTGCCATGGAAACAGTAAAGAGCTTTTGTACCACGAAGTCTATCCTATGCTATGCCACATCATGCTCGCAAGAACGTAAACAACCAGATTCGAGACGCTTAGTAAACTTCTAGGACGTATCTCAGATCCTCTTTCAGCCTCTCAATCTCCTTGTGCCCATCCTTCTTCTTACCCTCCGCACGGGCCTCAACTTCGACAGCCTCCTCCAAGACAGAGGTGACATCTGGCACAGGCCATGTGGGACCGCAGAGGTAGAAAGCACCCTCTTCCCTCAGGTATGCCCGTCGAATATCGCCCAACGTCTGGCGCATACGATCTTGAATGTAGATCTTCTGCGGCTGGTCACGAGAGAAGGCACAACCAAGCAGAGTGATGATACCAGCATCCTGATAAGCTTCCCATTCTTCGCCGTATAGGTACTCCTCACGTTGATGACGAGAGCCCATATACAAGAACACGTCACCAATTGGCATGCCCTGCTCGCGCTGCCAGGCGCGCTCCTGAACGAACGCACGGAAAGGAGCCAGACCCGTACCAAGACCAGCCATGATGATGGGCTGAGTCGTCTTGGGTGGCAGCTTCATAACAGATGGTTTGACAGATACCGTGACGGGGGCGCCGACTGGTAGACTGTTGAGATAGCGAGTGGCCTGTCCGAAGCGGTCACGACCCTTCGGATCAACCCAGTTGACGGTGACGATGAGCAGACTAACGCTATTCGGTGTGACCTTTTGGGACGAAGCGATGGAATATTCTCTGCGCTTCATCGGGCTGACAAGGCGGGCGATGTCGTGGAAGCTTGGGCGAGCAGATTGGAATTCCAAGAGGATGTCGGCATAAGTAATGGTGTCAACTTCGGCCCGACGTTTGAACTCCAGTGTAGCTTCCTGATTACCACCAGTCCCAAGCATAAGCAGCTCTGTCTTCTCTTTGTCGTCGCTCGCGAACTCGCTGAGTGCCTCGTAGAAACGCTTGGGTGGGCGACCGAAGATGTCGATATTCTGCAGTAGAGCTTGGTAGACGGTACGATTCTCCAGGATGGAAGGATTTTCTCGCGAGGGAACTTCAACAATCTCCTCGGGATTAAGACCGTACCACTTGATGAATTGCTCGATCTCGTCCTTGTTGTTCTCGGCGTGTATTCCCAAGGCCTCGCCAATCTCATATTTGAGTCCAGTATCGCCGAGATCGAATTCAATGTGGAAGATGTTACGATCGTAACTCTCTGGTGTCAATCTCCTATGCTCCTTGACATGTGCGATTGCAGTCTTGACGCTCAAATCTGGCCTGAGAGCAGTTGAAGTACCGTACGCTTCCTTAAAAGCGAGACCCTTCGCGGCGGTCTTCCAGTCGCGGAGAAGTGAAGGTGGTTCGTCCTCACCACTGTCGTGTGAAGCGAAGCTGTTGATGTTGAGATCGTCAGCCACTGGCAAAGCTTGGTTCTCCTCCAGCTCGACCGTGAACCAAGTATCTGGAACTTCAATCTGCTTCAGTGCCTTCTCGAGGTCTGCGACAAGGGCATCAAGGACCTCGCCCTTCAATTTCTTTAGACCGCTTGCGTAGAGCTCCGGATTAGTAAGCTTGAGAAACGCAAGCTGGAGCAGATGCGCCTCCAGACTGGAGTCCTCCTCAACCTTTGGACTGGCGGCGGGATCAAGAACCCACAGTGCGAGCTTCTTCGCAGCGATAGCCTGGCGAACCGGGGTGCTGAGCTTCTTCTCGATGTCTTCATCCTTCCAGCTTGCCGACTTAAGCAGCACGAGCCCTTCGCTCTTGATGCTGTCCATGACCGCGAAGTCTTTGAGAAGCTTCTCAGTGCCAACGACAATGGCATCGGCATCCTTGATACTGTAAGCGGTTTCGATGCTCTTGGTGGATGTGCGAATGTCAGTCCGCATGGCACCGCCTTGAACAAGATTGTCATGACCAGTGCGAACAGCAACATTGATAGCACTATCGTCCGAAAGCAATTGGCCGAGCATAGCTGGGGCACCTGCAGCCTTGCTCGCATCAACGTCCCAGAACGTATACTGCTTCACATCTTTTCCAGTGAGCGAAAGGACAGTGGTCTGATCTGCAGACTTGGCGCCGACTTGCTGGAGGAGGTTGGCAAGCTTGGCAACTGTCCAGACAGTATCTCGGGCGTATTTGAAATCGAACGCACTGGGTGCTTTACCGGAAGTAACACTCTGGAAATTGATGGCCGCCAGCACGTCGGAGTACAGGCTGCTTGCAACGCTTGGATCCAAGGCGGCGGCTTGATCGGAGACCTGGCCAAGTACAGTGACCTGCTGAGTTGTCGCAGGAAGGGCAGCATTGAACTCCTCCTCAATGAAGGGACGATAGATGCGCACATTGACGACACCAACCTTCACGTCCTGCTCAGCCAACGCTTCTGCGACTTGAGCGGCGAGGCTGCCCTCGACAGTGCCGAAGACAACAAGGACGTTGGTTGCGGCGGTATGACCATGATACTCAAATGCCTTGTATTCGGTGCCGAGCTCAGTATTGAAGGCCTGCAGCAGTTTCACAAGCTTTCCTTCTTTCGTGAAACGCTTCGAGCTCAGATCTTCCCTAACAGAGCCGAGGACGGTGTCGTATGTCCGCTTCAGGCTGGCCACGCTCAAAACGTCGATGACTCGCGTTGTCTCTCGCCCGACCGTGATACCATCGTATGTGTGAATGGTCGGCAGGATCGATGCCATCAGAGTTGACAGCAGCGACATATGCTGGATCTCGTATGCGCTTCTGCTTGTCAGCAGGCCCAGACCAAGTTCTTCTGCCAGAGTCAGCGCACTGGCATAATCCGTCACCAGCCCCGCGTCAGTGTTGGCAGCGTAATCCACAGCAGCCACGTGAAGTGTCGTAGGGTTGGCGACATCGTACAAGAGGCTCAGTTGGTCGAGGGCAGGTCGGAGATGGTGCAGACTGGCAGCGCTGGCAATGATGGACTGAGGCACATGTCGCTTGTTCAGATCAAAGTCTGGGCTGAACATGTATCCCAAAGCAATGCTCCCCGCGCCGGATCGCGTGTCGAGGCATTGAACGCCCGTGACCTCGTGGTGTGCATTTTTCTGTTGCTGGCGGGCCCAGGCGCGGGCGGCGATGTCGAGATCGAAGGACGCGGGCGAGTAGGTGAAGAGCTTGTCGGAGAGGGCGTATGCGACTTGCTGTACCAACGTCTGCGCAGTCACATAAGCTGGCCCAGAGAGCGCGGAGAGGGCAACGTGTCGTCCGAATGGCAGCGCGGTCGACTGCTTGCTCTCGACGTCGACGTCGACATCGACCTGCGGTGGTGTCGGCGTCGGCGTCCGTGTTGCCGCAGATCCTCCGGCCTCGCCCGTCTGCAGGTGCACCATGGTGTGACTTTGGACTTCGTGACTTCCGCAGAGGCCTGAATCGCACAGTGCTTCTGAACAGCAGTCAATGTGCGTCGGTTGGAGGAAGTCGTTCACGAACAAAGACAACCAGCGGAAATCTCGATTAATAAGCGTCGACACTGCCAGTCTCGCCTTTCAGCGAAAAATGTCAACCAAATCTAGGCCGAGGTCGGAACTGGTCAATCACGCAATCGCATTTCGCTTTTCTCCTAGCAATCAGGAAAGCCTCGTGCCCGTGCCGCTGACTGCGAGGCGCCGTCTCAGGTGCAGCAGTGCATATTCGAACTGTGCCACCGTGATTATTCTGTGCCAGGCATGCTGCTCACCTGCTGAACCATCTCGGGCCCAGAGGATGCTCGTCAAACAGCTATCACAGACAGCACCTTCGCATTGAGTCAAATCGTCAACATAAGCTACACTAATGGGTATAAAGGTTGGGCGCAGTGGCCGAATCGACTTTCCAATCCAATCTCTCCTCGCCCCCGTCTTCGCTCTCGTTAGAATGTAACTCGAAAAGTTCTCCTCCTGCAATGCAGCTTTTCACCTCCTGTACTCTCCTCCGACCGCGCTCTGGGACGCCATACCGCAAAGCAGATGCATTGAGCTCGTATCATAATGTGATCGTCGATACACTGGCAGCCGTTCAGCAATGTAACACTTGCAAGTGACCTGTGGTTTCATTTTGTGCCTTCTGGAAAATCTTCCAGCGGGCCGCTGGTTGCACTCATGCCAGGCGCTGGCTTCGAGGTCTTGATTGGAGGCGGCGGCTCGGAATCTACTGCTACCTTCTCCTCTTGACCAGATGACGGTACCGCCGCTTTTTGTTGGTCTGCATTATCTGCTGGCTTGCTCTCGGGCTCTGCTGGTGCAGGCGATGCCTCATTTGTAGCTGGAGGCACGTTCTCTTTCGCAACTTTCGCAATCGTTAGCGCTTTTGCACCGCAGCCCATGCCCGCAAACGTCCGCCATACCTGATGATTCGGTCGTCTTCGGACTTTCCACTGGAGCATCATTCTTGGGCGGAGGCGCAGGCGGAGTGTCCTTCTCAATTGCTGATACTGGCTCCGAAGCCGCCGGAGTGCCCGTCGCGGGCGAAACTCCCTCGCTACTGCTCTTCAGATCTGGCACCGCCGTCGCAGGCGTCGTATGTGCAGCCGAGGAAGCCGCGATATCTGCAGAGGCATCCTTCGTGGGTGGTAGCTGCTTGTTCGTGTCTGGCGCGCTGGTACCGGCGGTTGCAGGCGTCTGCGAAGCTTGAGCTGCCGGCGGTGCCTGTGAGGTCGGCGGCGGCGGCGCAGACTGGCTTTGAGTGGCGGATGACGGTGTTGTTGCAGCGGTGGATCCGGTTGTCTCGGTAGGTTTGTCTTGCTTCTTGTTCTTGTTCCGCTTGAAGAGCCCCTTCAACAGCTTCTTGACGTTGTCAACCGCATCGGGAGCTGCGAAAGCGTTGGTAAGATGTCTGTAGGGGAACCTAACATGAACACTTACGAACGCCAGGCATTGTGATGAATGAGAAAGAACAGGAGTGGAACCAATGCGCCAACTGGCACTCCCAGTAAGCTGTGTTACGTTCGCAGCAGGGAGATGATGAGGATGGAAGGTCGCGAAATGGGGCGGAGTAGTAGTTGGGCTTGTCCAATCATCCAATTGGGAAGGAAAGAGGGAGGGAGTCACGCGGAAGACCGAGTGGTCAGCAAGCCCTCATCATGCTTCCCACGATGAGGAACATCCATTCGCATCGTGAGGAGGAGGCTACAAGATGTAGGTACAGCTGTTTTGCGCTGCGCTCTCCCAGCCACGTTGATGCATGAGCTGCTTAATATAGCTTCGAGAGCTTGGGCTTCGGATCGTCACATCCGGCAGCTCTCTCTGGATGACTAGGCCATGCTTTCTGTCAAAGTTCGTTCCGCACACGCCAAAGTCCTCTCGCTCATCACACACAAATGTGAAGTCGCTCGCTCGCAGCGGTGCTTCATCCTCACTACCAAGTGCGGTCACCTCACAAAGACATCCAGTCCCGCTTCTGCTTCATGCATCCTACCACGAGCGGTGCAGCACAACAGCCAGTCTTGCCCACGCCATCATTGCTGATTTCATCATCAGCACCGAGTCATTACCACGTCGTGGCACTTCATCTGACAATATTAGAACTTTGGATGCCTCTGTGTCCGGTCACTAGTTGCATTGCCTGTGGCCCATGGAGCTCTCATCGAAGGCATACCGGTGCTACCGTGCATCTGAGGCAAGCCAGCACTGCCTGGTTTGGCCCACGGCGCAGCGGTGCCAGCTCCGACTACAGGAGGCACGTCTTTACTCTGTAATGCCACAGGCTGCTGTTTCGCGTGCGTGCTAGGTGGTGCGGCAGGTGCTTCGGGGTCCTTCTCCCAGCGGAAAAGACTGCCGAACGGGAAGTGCTGGACGACAGGAAACTTGCCAAGCACTTCGGCCACATACATCTTGAGCATACCTTTGTTGATCTTTCCCCAGCCGTCCTTGATCCCGCTGATATCATACAGGACTGGCGAATGTTCCCAGAAGGGGCCCTTCTTGACGTCGTAGATGAATTGAATGGCGGAGAAGTACATGTTGCTGTTTTTGAAGTCTGCAACGAGAGCCTTGTTGGTGACTGCGGAGGGGGAGGGTGCTGTAGGTAGGGAGCCTTCCGTCGGAATTGGCGCAGAATCATCCCCCGTCGATATTGCTGGTCCGAGTTGGGCAGAGCCAAAGATGTACGGCAAGAAACTATGATCGTCTAGACCCCATACACCATGAGAGCCTGCTGGCTCAAGAGTGTATGTTGCTATCAGTCTGCGAACGAGTTCCAAGTAGCTTGAAAGCGCGATTAGCCTGCTGTTGGAAAGCTGCTCATCACAACTTACGGTTGCACAAGGCCTACAACAATTGCCTGTTCGTCACCATGGTGAAAGATGCCGAGTTTCCAGAGACAGCCTAAGAATGCAAGGAAACTGAGCTCGTGGCCAGTGCCGTAGTCTAATCTCTGGGCACTGCCGAAGCTTCCCAAAAGATATGCTTTCAGCTCGTCTCGCAGTGCCTCTTCGGCGCCGAAAGAAGTCGGCAGAACATTCTTCAAGAGGTCATCGAGCAGAGAGGGCGCATTCCGCTCGGCGAGCTGATACCACTTTCGAAAAGCTACGTTGCCGAATCTGCGGGGGCCTGTGTCGGGTGGTGCTTGATCTATCAGAGTTGAAAGGCTCTGCAGCAGAGCTCTCACCTCGATAATCTGCGAGGACATGTGCGGCGGCACATTCAGTGTGCAAGCCTTCGCAGCAGCTCCTGGCTGCCTCTCTGGGAACATGGCTTTGGTGAGTTGAAATAGCCATGTGGTCAGATGTGTGTATGCTGTTGACGTGAAGAAAGAAGCCAGATCGTCCCCATCGTTGATCTTCTTCGAAGGAGCGGCGAAACGATGGCTGGCGACATGTTCAATGCGCTCGAGAACAGGCAGAGGCAGAGGCGCGTGCGGAATGCTCTGTGTCATGGTGCTCGTCGCGCAGGTTCGAATAGCGTGCATGGAGGTGGAGGGCGTGCAGCGGCTCTTGCTTCTTGGGGACAGCGCTCAGCTGGAGAGCCTCAGGCAGGGAGCGGGAGCGGGAGCGGGAGCATCCGTTGCAAGCTGCGATCATTGCCGATCATTGTCACCCTGCGCGACGGCCTCGCGTAATTCCGCCCGAGTCTCCGAGATGAACACTTCCACGCAGAGTAACAGTGGCCGCCAAGCAATTCATGCCATACCGAGAACCAGACCAGACCTGCCGCGTGCTTGCTGTACGCCCGACAGCCGCGGCAAATGTAGCGAGTCACCAAGCTGTACCGGCGCGATTCGTTTGCAATGCCTCCAGCCAAAAAGCGCAGAAATGGCGCGTTGAAGCGTGTCTTGCACGCTGAACCGCCCAAGCCGGAACCGATGCAACGTCGCTTGCCCAAGGCTGCCCGGAGAGATCCCTATGCGATGGACGAGTCTCCCGAAAAGCCGATGGCCTCTCGAAAGCGAGTTGTCATGCCGGGTGCCGAGATCTCTCCTCTGAAGAAGCGCAAGGCCGGTCCAAAGCCCGACGCTGCTGCACAGAACCCGGTCGATGCTGAGCAGGTGGCGCCGACGAAGCATTCAAAAGTGAGCGTGACTCCAAGAGCAGAGCGTGAATCCCCTCGGAAAGCTACTCGACGACGTGGACCCAAGGACCATGAGCCGCACCCGGGTCGTCGTCTGGCCCAAGAACAAGCCTCGGAGCAATTTGAAGGCGACGATGCTAGCTCAGATGGATTGTCTGTTGGACAGCACGATCCGGAACGTGGACGAAAGGTAGCAGACGCAGAATCACTCCGGCCTTCAGAACAGCAGACCACGCCTCAGCGCAAACGCGGACGACCGCCGAAGGCACCTTCCAGCGCTGAAGGCACAAATGGAGTGCAGTTGGAAGAGATAATTGCAGACATCGAGCCGAGCTCGGCCAAGAGACGATCGCCCAGATTGACAATGAAGGAAAAGCTTGCAAAACTGGGCAACCATTCAAATGCGCCTATGCCACCTATTGAAAGAATCGGAACTAGCGAAGTGGTTTTTCCCGAAGAAGAAAACCAGCCATTCGCAGACAATTCGACTCAAGTTGGTGACGAAGACGCCGATGGTGGGATCGTCGAGGAGAAGTCGACGAGAGCTCACGCAAAGGGGAAACTGCGATCCCCAGCTAAATTTCGACGAGATCCAGATGAACAGCTCTCATCATCCGATGAAAGTCAGCACGCCAATGCAGAGGACAAGGCTACGAATGCCCATTTCCTCGGGCAATGGCCTGTTCTGAGGAAGATCTTCGCTGCTGCCCGAAGAAGGAACATTCGTTCAAAAAGTGGCAAGAAGCGCAGTAACGACAATGTAGAAATGGAGGAGGATGTCGCCGAAGCGCTGCATGCGTGTTGCCAAGTGGAATACAAGCTCACTCGCTTGAGGGATACAGAGCATGCCACCGAGCAGATCCAGGACCCGTCTAACGAGCTCAATGATCTCATGGAAAGGATCAATATCCTCTGTAACAAGGAACGAGGATCTCAAGCTGATCTGGACGACGAGAATTTGGCTCGGTGCATCTATGTCCATCTCATCGACAAGGTCGTAGATCTCCTACGTCATATGATGTCTTGCTACAAGACAATCGATCAAGATGACTCGGTCCTAGCCAGCACTATGAGCCTTGCACATACTCGCACGTGCACGCGTGTGATGAATACGATTTTGGAAATGGGGAGAGTTGCAAAGAAACGCAAGCTCCCGTCCGCCAACGAGCGCTTGAGGAAGTCGATCGAAAAGGACATCCTGCGACCGCTAGGCAAGGTGGTCAAAGTCTTCATCTCATACTTGTCTGTCATCACACGTCAACAGCAACTCGAGGAAGCTCAGGCTCAGGAAAGACAGGAGCGTGAGCAGCTGCGATTGGAACGACGGCGGAAGAGAGAGGAGCGACGTGAAAGAGACCAATATGAAGATCTCCGGAAGAAATGGGGAATGCTGCACACCGAAAGACGACGCGCAGAAGGCGGCTGCTTGACCATGGCAAAGCAGCGACATCTTCAATACAAAGAGTCCGAGCCGGAAGTCGACCAGAACGGCAATCTGTTTGAACGAGTAGAAGTTTTCAGGACTAGGGCACCGGGGCCGTCACCTGCCGCGATAGCTCAAATTCGTGCGGGCAAGACCTTCAGACCTTGGTCGAGTGAGGCTTTGCTTGCTCTCGTGAATGGCTTGAAGCGCTGGTCTGACGATGAGGAGATGGTTTTCACGAGGATTATCAGGGAACACTGCACGCGTGGAGGACTCCTTGTGGATCGCAACGTGACCGAGATTGTTGTGGCTGCGGCGGATCTGAAAGAGCTTTTGTCACGTTCTCAGGAGCAGAATGATGGCCATGTGCAGGACTGGGTGCGAAAGATACCACTTTGGACTGAGCCACGGTCCTTGCTCAGACCTGTGGGTCAAGAAAATGGCGAAGAGGAAGATGCCGATGATACCGATGAGGTGGAAGCGGAGGCAGAAGAAGACGTGGTGAATAATGAGGTATAAGCTTGTTCAAAGATGAAAGGAAGCCGCCATGCATAATTGCAATGCCATTCCATGGGGTGGAATAGCAGTAATGCCACATCCGCCTTCACGAATATCTATTGCCAACCCGATGCAAATAATCACATACTACAGACTTGTGTTTTGTACGCACCACAACGCCGAGTTCGTTCCGCGACGGCAGCACTCCCTGAGTTCTGTACGAGCCTCCCCAAATACTCTCTCTTCGCAGCCATACCCTCGCCTCTTGAGGATGCGCCGACTGGTAGACGCAAGTCTCGCAGCTTCTCGTTCTCTTCCTGCATAGTTTATCAGTTAGAGGTTACCGGGCGCCCAATCCTGTTGGAATTGCCTTCCTTCTAGCATAGTCTTCAACCGATGAACCATGCTCCCGCGGTACTAGAGCCAAATGGCCTACCGTCGAGACTATCGTCTTTGTCGCCGCACTCTGCTACACCGCCTATGGCTTCCTCGCTAGCTATATCTCGTCCGCCACCCGTATTGTCGTCACCAAAGCCGAAACCAAGGCCTTCTCCGGCATCTGCCACCGTCATTTGACTCGTCTCGACAAACTCGAATTCCTGTTGGTGTTCTGGAGTAGCATTATCGGCTATGTTCGTATTAGAGACGCTAGCATTGTCAAGACTCTGATCGTTAAAAGGGGCGTAGACATCTGGAAGAGGCATGAAACTGGATTGAGTCGGGGCGCTGTCGCTCATATAGCCAGGCGGAGGAGAGGGAGAGTAGCGGCGTGGAGTCTGTGACTCCGGAAGTGCTGTGAGATAATTTATGGCGGGTGGTCGAACACGGTCGTTATCGTATGTATAGCGCACTCGGTCTCTCTGCTAGCGGCGAGGGTGAGTATACAGGAGCAGTAGGGCAGCGCCGCCGATGAGTATGCCGCTTACTATGATAGACGGCAAGACAACCTACATGGTTAGTCTTGTAGTAACGAATGGTGGAGGCGAGGAGGTCACGTCTGAGTAAGAGCGTGAAGTAAAGGACAAAATCATTTCGCTTCAAACAAAATGCAGTCGTACAGCGGTGGAAGAAGGGGAAGAAGAAGAAGAGGGAGAAGAATCGAACCACAAGAGCAGATCGAGATATGAAAATACCAATGAGCAAAATTAGGCATAAAGAATAAGCTCTCAATGCACCGATCGCATAATAGACTAAAGTAGCTGATCCAGTATCGCCTCACGAACACGATCGTCCGAGCCATCCTGTCGCTGGACTTCTCTGAAATCCCCCCCTGCATCATTAAACGGTTTCTTAGCACGAGCCCGTCCCAATCCGATCCTTGCCTGCGCAGATGTGATATCCTTTCCATCTTGCGTCTTACGGCACCATGCCAAGATCAAGTCAATTGCGGAACTTTCTCTTATACCATAGAATTGGTGGGCGAGAGTTTCCGAATTGAATCGAAACCAGACGCGTTTATGTCGCTCGCCAAGGCAGCTGCTATCGCGTCGAGCCCCTTCAAGCTTCTCTGCGAACGTCTGCTCTAGCTGAGAGGCCGTGATACTAATTTGTAGTAGAGTGAAGTTGAAGGCGGCACAGAAGGAAGCGAGGTTGCTCGGCTGCGCTGTAATTGAATCGTTTACCGCAAAAACGGAACGGTTGGCGGCCTTGACCTCGTGGAGGAAGTCTACAACAAGACTAGTCACTAGGACGGAGTTGACATTTGCAATCTCTACAGATTTCTGCCGTTTGTTGGTGTATGATAGGTATGGCATTCTAGTCCGAGAAGGGTCATTGGTAGCAGATCGGGCGTATAATATGTCGTGGTAGAATGCCTGTCCTGGAAAGAATGGAAACGACGCACTTAGCATTTCTTCTGTCGAGAGTATGAGGATGGGCATGTCGATGTACTCTTGACCTAGAAACTCGAGATGTTTTCTAATATTGTCGAAGGCAAGCTGTTGCCACTTTTTGCCACGTGGGCTGCTATCGCGTGCGATGAACACTGTACGATAAGCTGACTTCGACTGATTAAGGTGCTGGACGAGCTCCTTCCGGATTCCGCGGTTGAGCATATCGGGCAGAATGCAGTACTTACCCTCGTCTGCTTGGTCTTCTTCAGATGTCGACTCGTCTGCTTGCTTCTCTTCAGGTGCAGACTCGTCTGCTGCCTCTTGTTGAGATGTAGGCTCGTCTCCGTCGTCGTCTTGACGCCCTCCTTCTGATTCTTTTCGCTAGTCTTCCTCGGATTCAGCTTGTTTGTTGATCGTCGTCTCCGTTCACGTCGGATTCTCCTTCGGAATCTAGAACTGCGGTCCGCGCGGACTGTGTAGTCTGATTGACCGGGTTGTTCGTAGGAAGGGAATCCTGTGGTAAGGCGGCGGCTGTAGTAATGGGTAGTGGACACATGATGGAGCTTACGACGCTTGTAGATTCTATCACCGGCGGACCTAACCTCACTGGATCAGGAACTTTCATAACGTTGCCACTCCAAGTCCGCGCAAGATACTGAAGCAGAGTAGACGGTGTGCCGGTACATCCGCGTCGAACGTGGAGGTCAAAATGAATCGGGTCGGGGAGGATTAGACCGCAGGAGCATGGAAGTCCCGGATGATTGTGATGCGTATGGAAGGCGTATTCGTCCAAGAAAGAGAAATATGGAATACATACAGCCCGAATTCATCTCGGATTGAAGTGGATATTCCAAACGGCACGGCAGATCTGGATGGTATTTCCGGTATGGACACTCAGTCAGAATAGGAATACTTGAACAGCTGCGGCCTTTCGCGCGCGAAGGGCAGAGTCGATGAACTCTCTCTCTAGACCCAACATGAAAGTGTTTCGCTCTAGAACTTTGCAAGCCTCAAAGCGCGAGCGATGTCAGACGCCAATGTCTCTCCACTCGAGCCCTGGACGTATTCTCCATGGATGAACAGCCTTGTTTCGTACGACATCTTGAGGGTTTCCTGAGCGCGTGAGAAGAGTAAGTAGTATAGCCAAGGTAAATTCGTTCAGGCACATGCACCCCGCATATCCAGGATGTCTGTGGCGTAGGTATTAATGATTACTGTAGTTCGTTGCCATGTGGTGGTGGCTGAGGTATCAAGATGTCAACGGAGAGCTCGTGGCCTTGCATGCCGCTGCAGGTCCTCAGGCATGCTTCTTATCATGTTATTATTAGGCAGATGAATGATGGATGAAAGTCGGACGCTGGCTTTCTGATCGCGAAAGGCCGCAGCACCCTCCGACGCTTCGCCAAGAGCTTGCTCTGCAGAACCTGGAGCAATATAATCTTCTACTCCAACCGAACCACAAACTGTCAGTCATCACCGCGTGGACTAATTGTTAGACGTCAGCAGCATGGAGTACAAGCCTCCCTCTGAAGCATCTGAAAAGCCAGGCCGTATCACGCCTCGCATAATCATCCATGGCGGAGCTGGAAACATCACTCGCCAGAACATGCCTCGATCCTCATACAAAGCTTACCGCTACGCCCTTCTCGATATCGTGGAAAGCGCCCATCTTGAGCTTCTCAAGCCCGGGACCACAGCGCTAGATATAGCGGTTGGAGCAGTCGTCCTCTTAGAACAGAATCCCCTCTTCAATGCCGGAAAAGGCGCAGTGTACACTACAGCTGGCACGCACGAGTTGGAAGCGTCAGTCATGGTGACTCGTGGCTACGTGAAAAGAGGCGTAGGCGTAATGAAAGTGAAGAAGGCGAAAAGCCCGATTAAACTGGCGAGGGAGATGTTAATCAGAGGCAATGAAATTGATGGAGGAGGAGGAGCGCAGGGACATTGTCAACTCGAGGGAGATTTATGTGACGAGCTGAATGATCGATGGGGCCTGGAAAGTGTGAGACCTAGCTATTTCTGGACGAGAAGAAGATGGGATGAGCATAGAAGAGGACTCGGACTGAGCCATGACGATGAGACCTATGAGAGGATGAAGAGGGACGCGGATGCACTCTGCTCAGAGACTTCGTTGGACCATGCTCGAGCAGATGAGACGATTAAGGATTCCGACCCAATGATGTTCGGCGACACCCAATGGGATGGAAAAGAGTATTTGCCTCAAGGGACGGTTGGAGCTGTGGTGTTGGACAGCACTGGCACTCTTTGTGCAGCAACGAGCACTGGTGGTCTTACGAATAAGCTACCTGGTCGCATTGGCGACACTCCAAGTAGGTCTCCTCTTCCCTTGTTCAATTTCCGACCTCTTCCAGCACATTTGGCTGGCTCCAAGCTCTTCATGATACAATAGCTAGGCCCGGCCAAGTAGCAGCGTGGCAACCATGCTGACTTCATGTTCCAGCCTTGGGCGCAGGCTTTTGGGCCGAGCAGTGGTACTCTGCTCCGACCTTGATGCCTACTGCAGTGTCGCCGTTGTCTCAACTCCTATCATTGTTGGGTGACTGCATTCCTAATCTGCAGGGCTACAACACCGTTCATAGGAATGACTTCAACGACGATGCTTCTGCTCTTCGTGCTGTGGCCATGTCAGGCACGGGAAATGGCGATTCTTTTTTACGTGTAAATGCTGTCCGGACCTGTGCAGCGATTGCGCGTTACGCCGATCGAAGCACCGTTCCACTACAGTCTGCTGTCACTGCTGTAGCAGGACCAAACGGTCAGCTCCAGCAATCAGCTGCAGACCGGTGGCAGAAGACGGGCGAGGGTGAGGGAGGGATTATTGGTATCGAGCTCAGTCATGGTGAAGGACATGTCGTTTTCGACTACAACTGTGGCGGTATGTTCCACGCCTGGATTGACACAGCCGGCCACCCACGCTTTAAGCTCTTCCAGAACGATAAAGGATTTAAATACGAGTAGCGTCGTCCCTGGCAGCGAAGTCTTGACTCTGGTTCTAGAATCGAGCCATTCTGGCTCGTGCTCTAAAGTTAATAGATATGGAAGCTTTTGTCATGCTCGAACACCTACTGCTTCGAGCTCAAGACACTCTGCACTGCTTTAATGACATGCTTGTGCACATCTTTGGGTGCAGCGATGACACCCTTGTTGTCATTCAACGTTCGGCCCAGGCTGAAATCCAGCCGCTTACCTTCCACATCTGTGACCTGGCCGCCTGCCTCTCGCACGATGAGGTCTCCAGCAGCGTGGTCCCAGATCTTCTCCACGTAATCCTTCTTCACTGGCAACCGCAAATACAGATCCCCCGCACCTCGTGCGATACTGCCATATTTCGCTTGACTGTCCATTTTTACGCTTGGCTTTGTGATGCCGAGCTTCTGTGCAATCTTGACTGAGTCGTCCTGGTTGCTGTGACCTGCTTCGACGGACTCGCAGAAGGTGGCTTCTGAGATGTTGCTGATCGGTTTCATCTGGATTTTGGAAGCTGGGGCCAAAGAGCCCTTGCCGAGAGGTCTGCTATTTGCGCCCTGTCCCTGCACAGCAGAAAAGAGGACGCCCTTGCCTTCTTGGTCTGTGGCATCGGAACCAATGCCTTCAGTCAAAGGCTCGGAATCAGAGACTGGTAGATTTGGGCAGCCCAGGACGCCGACCTTAACATCACCGTCTACCATAAGCCCAAGGCAAACGGCATACTGTCCACCGCGCAGGAAGCCTTTGGTACCATCAATAGGGTCGATGGCCCATATCCTGCCCTTGTTTCCGCCTTTGCTGTCACCCTTGTCGATGATGTCAAGCATGGCCTCTGGACTGGCTATGCTTCCACCAAGCTCTTTCTCTGCAGCTGCATCGGATAGCGAAGCATTGTTGACCAGATGCCACACTGTTTGTCTCAAGTTCTGATTCTCGCGAAGATCCTTGGCTTCCTCTTCGGCAACGATTTCATCGTGGGGAAAGTTGTGTTGCAGGGCGCTGATGATGAGTGCCTGCGCGCCAAAGTCGCCAATGGTCACAGGTGACGCATCCTGCTTGTTGAGGGTGCCTTTCGCATGCGAGTGGAACACGGACTTGGTGAGAAGGGTGGCGCGTTGGACGGCGAGCAGCGCAATGTGCAATTCTGTGGCGTAGTCGCACGAAGCCATGCTGTGCTGTTGAGAGAATTTGAATGCTGCGAGGTGGGGCAGCGGGAGGTGAGAGGAGAGGAGGCGAACGCGAAGGCGAGGGAGAAGTGTTGGTAGGAGAGCAGCAGCAGCCAGGACGAGCGCTGAAAGAGTGAAGATAATAATGGGCGAGAGAGGATTTTGACTCCTTACCATTGTCCTGCAGCGGATCTCGTCCTTCTCGGCCTTTGAGCTTGCGTTGCGTTGCCGCCGCCGCGAATTCGGAGACTGCTCGGTGCAGACATTCATGTAACTCTGCGATCCATGATGTCGTCGCAACACGATGACCGTGTTGTCGAAGAATGGGACATGTCAGCAAGAGAACAGATGGGCGGAGAAGATCAATCTCAATCATCGAAAACGCCCTGAAATACTCTTTGCTCTGAGACTATCTATGTTCAGCCGCCTGCTGGGGCGCCTTGCTGTTCCCGTTCGCCAATCTTGTTCCGGCCTTCCTCGAATAAATCGACCCAAGATCATGATCAAAATCACGACCAGTCGCAGCTGCAGCTAGCTCAGGACTCTTCGGTATAGACCCGCCCGCCTCTGGTCTTGGCTTTCCCTTTCTTACCACAGCTCCGATTTTTGCGACAATCGCTTTCACCTTCTCTGGAATCGGAGATTTCTGAACCTCCTCCAGCAGGACAAAGCGTCGAATCAGCAGGTTGAAGATGCTTCCAAATCCCAAAGCAATGACGGTGGAGGTCAAGATAATGACGTTGTAAGGCATACTGAAGTCTGGAGTCGGTAGTGGCAACAATAGTGAAGTCGTGCGAAGGTAGCTATCTTCTTGACCGTTTTGAGAGAGAACGCGCAGAACAGCCGGCGCAACATCGAAGCCGCGATTTGCGTCTGGTGGATACTCCGTGTACCGCAGGATGGCCTTCTCGAAGTCATAGGCGATGTTGACCTCAGAGAAGGGAGGCAATTCCAGCAACAGCTCCAGCTGCGTGCCTTTCTCGCGATCGATGGCGGGCGTGTAATACATCTTCTCAATCTTTGCGCCTTCGACGCGGAGCGTATGCATGTAAGGCCTGAGGAACCAAGGGAGACTTTCCAAGAAAACAACGCGCTGTGCCGTCGGACGTCGGTTAGTGATGACAGTATGCATGCCTCCTCGCTCTTGACCATAGCCTGTAATCTGCCTGCTTGCGCGGAGCAGTGCCTGGCTTTCCTCGGGAGCTTGCTCAATGACCTGCTGCGAAAGCTTGAGATCAAAGTCCGCATCGTCTCTGAGTCGATACAGCCGTGAGCCCGAGCCATCCTGCTGAGCGCTTTCCGGTGACACCTCACTACTGACTTCCACGTTTCTGCTCGCAGGTACTTCCAGAAGGACATCGACTGCATCATGCCGTGCCGCCAGAGGACAGCTACCATGGATCGATCTGCCAAAGATTCGACTCAACGACCACCCAACTTCTCCCTCGGGTCTTTTGGGATAGCATGTATCATGAGCGTTGTATGATTTGCTTTCGTCACAGGGAATCTCCTCTATCGGAGGCGGTCGTGGGATAGGATTATCTCTGGAGCGCATGCTACGCTCGATGTCCAATACCATATCAACGGTCTGCTCGACCTCGAGGCTGCCTCCTTTTGGCCTCACATCAATGGACATTGTCTGCCAGTTAGCATCGAACACCTTGTGCCCGTCCAGCAAACTCGAGACGCCAGCCTTGCCTTTACATGACAGCAATTTGAGGAACGGTGTTAAGTTCTCCGTGCAGACAACTTCATGGGGCAACATTCCGTGCATGAGATGTAGCTTTGATGATCCCGTCGATTGCAGGGTACCCTCGGGCTCGAAGCTCAGTATGGGCTGAATAGTCTTCGTTCGGTCGATGAAGTTCAAGCTTGCGCAAAACAAGCCACTGAGACTGTTGACGAGGCCACTCCATCTCTCTTCTGCCTCTTGCTGATCACTTCCTTCCAGCCAGGCCCACAATTCCACACCAGTGCCGCCTTCCCTTCTCCCATTCCGCGGTCGGCTGCCCCAACTCTCTTCGTCCCATCTTCCGAGGGCAAACCTCAGATGGAGCTCTGACGTACGTGTGTGTTGCAGTATCTGTCCTAGAGATCGAGGAAAGAAGCGAAAATGCTGGTTTTGGTAGTCGTGCAGGGAAGTGGAAGCGGTGAAATTGAACCCAGCGTACAGAGCTCCTCCTGGAAGCGGCTTGAGATGAAGATGCTCGTCGTAGTCGCCTGAGATGGGTACAGTGTCAGCGAAGGCGAGGGAGAGCAAGCCGGCAGGGAGTGCCAGCAGAGATGCGAGCCTCATGTCTGGGTGTGAGGGTCAGGAAGGTCAGTTCGTATCAGAGTATCAGGACACGTGCGATCGGGTTGCGGACACGTTCACATGCATGCCCGACGCCGACGATACGCGAACTGCCCTGGCCTGGGCTGGCTGAGCCTGCTGATTGGTCGCGGCTGTTTCTGCCGGATCGGCCTCGCGAGTCTCAGTCTTCTCCAGGAAGCTCACGTCCAAACCGACACTCGACTTTTGAATGTTGCTGCCTCCGCTCAGACCGCTCGCAGCTACATTGCACCTGGACAGATCAAACACCGCCTCACAACACACCTCCACAGGCGACGCGACACTCACCCTCGCTGTCGGCCAAGATGGCCGCCGAACAGCGCAAGCTGCTCGAGCAGCTCATGGGCGATACCATGATGAACGCGCCGGGCACACACAAGCAAGCCGCTCTCACCATAACAGATCCCAAAGTGTGCCGGTCTTACCTCTGTGGCGGATGTCCACACGATCTCTTCACGAATACCAAACAAGACCTTGGTGCATGCGACAGGGCTCACCAGCCAAACCTGCGAGACGAGTACCAAGCCGCTTCAGACGAGCAGAAGAAGACGTGGGGCTTCGAGTTCGATTACCAACGAGATATTAGCAAATACGTCAGCGAATGCGACCGCCGAATAGACGCTGCACAGAGACGACTGGAAAAGACACCAGACGAGATTCGGCAGACCAACAATCTACTGAAGGCGATCGGTGACTTGACCAGGACCATCGAGGCAGGCATGGTTGAGATCGAAATCTTAGCTGAGCAAGGAGCCGTCAACCTTGCCGTCCAGGAGCACCACAATCTGAAGCTGAAGAAAGTGCAAAAGGAGGAGCGCGAGCGAGAGTTGAAGGCACTGTCTGACACCTCTGGTCCTTCTGGGCACCAAAAGTTGCAAGTCTGTGATGTGTGTGGCGCATATTTGTCGCGACTCGACAATGACAGGCGACTAGCGGACCATTTCTTTGGAAAGATGCACCTTGGCTATGCTCAGATGCGAAAGGAAAACGACCGGTTGGCCAAAGAACTCAAAGGTCGGCGAGCACCAGAGCGACAAGAGCCTGTGGATGACCGAAATGGCTATGACGACTATGGAGGTGGCGGCTACGGCTCACGTGGTGGTGGTGGAGGATATGGTGGAGGCCGTGGTGGAGGACGTTCTTATCGAGGTGGAGGCTATAGCGGCAGAGGTGGCAGATGGTAGACTCTGGGCGCCAGCTTTAATTTAGAGCTGACGAGTGCTGCACAATTAGCGAGGCGTAAGGCGAAATGAAAGGAATGCATGCGAGAAATGGCTCTTCTCAGTCTTCCTGATAGACGATCAGGATAGCGAGAGCTCTATGAAATTTGATGCTTTGCTCTTTGCCTGATCTATACTGTCTAGTCCGTAGGCCTGATATACAGCCTTTGGCCTGGTTACGGGGCATTAGCGGCAACAGAGTAAAGGAGGACTACGCGTTAAGTAGCAATCTATGCGCTCTAAGCTCGATGCTCGAGGCTATACTATTGTCTGCGACGTAACGACTACCGCTCGATCTGTAGAGCGGAGCTGTACGCGCTCTGCGCTCGATGCTCGAGACTGGACCACTGTCTGCAATGTGCCGACCGCCGCTCGATCTGCAGAGCGGAGCAGTTCATTCTGATGGTTATCCTGAATATTTTCTAGACTGTGTACATACGATCCACTCAAGCTTCACCAACCTTTACTCAGCAGTAGTTCCTCATCTGCCTGTCCTTCGAAGTAGTATAGCCATAACACTTGAAAGCATTTGACTTGCTTTCGCTTGAGCATCTCTCGCATACTCTCGTCGTCGTTGCTGTGACACAGTTCCTTTTCACCAGCAATCCGCCCAGCTAGATATCCTTTTGTAGGATCATCTTTTCCCTTGGCGATCTCCTCCAGCGTGTTTGCCAGATTGGCCCAGCTCATTTGAGACGCATTGATGTCCTTGCGGTGAAGTTGTTGCTTGTCTTTCTTGTCCATTAGGTCTGTGCAGTGGACTTCTTTATAAGCTCGTAGGTATGGTTCGTCTCTTCTATGGGTGGTAGTATCTGCAGCTCGCATAATGTATTTAAAGGTGTCTCTGAACTCCAAAGTTTTCTCGTTCAACACTCTCAGATCATCGTCACCATCGCTTTCGTTGTCGTCGTTGGTGGCCGCAATCGCGTTCTTCTGATCCGAATTCTTGTTCAGGTCCGGTAGAAGGGCGTTGTAGCCTCCTCTGTCAATCAACTTCCTTTTCTTCTATTTGGATGTTAGTTGGGAAAAGTATAGAAATTGCTGGGTGATAAATACCACATATCGACCTATGGTTGCCCTCACAAATCTATCCCGCACTTCTCTTTCTTGGCGAGGAAAAGGTTTATCTTCGTCAAGTTCGAAGTGCCTGTCTACGTCTGTCCATCAAGCATACATATCATCAAACTCCTCCTCCTCTTCGTCCTTCGGCGGCGGCTCTTGCTTCTTGATCAACTCCAACCGACAAAGTGGGCATGTGACATGAAGCTTCAGCCACGGCTGTATACACTCCAGGTCGAAGAGATGGTCCTTGTGACAAGGTAATCTCACCACCAGTGGATGACGGTCGTCGAGGAAGTTCTGAGCACATATGGGACAGGACGTATCTGGTGTTTTCTCTAATGTCTTCTTTGGCACTCTTTCCAGCTGTTCGATGAACTCGTCCGGAACACCTTCGACGTGCGAGGGAGGGTGATCTGCGCTTGCCATGAGGGATTCAATCAAGCTGCCAATCAGCTCGGAATTGGAGTCGGCGGATCGGTCTGTCTCGGGGCCACGCATCATGGAGAAGGCGTTTGCGAGGGTCCGCTATGTAGTTGCGTTAGATGGCAAAGTAGACGAGAGTGCAGGATGTTGAACCCACAAATGCAGCGGATACATCCTGCGGGAGCGGCAAAGAGTTGGCATTTTGAGGTCGCCGAGAGCCAGAAGTATCAACGACGTCTAATGTGCTGAAGAATGTGCTCAGGTCTGGTCGACGGCGGGCTTCTTGTTTCTGCGCGTGCTCAACTCCGGTAGCATTATCGTGTTCGACTGCATTGGTCAGTCAGCCGATATGGACATGGCGATGAGGGGCAAGGGCAACTTGATCAGACTGTGTTTGTGCCTGCCTACCTACCTTCGTAACCCGACATACTGCACGCGTGAGAGAAGCAGGGCAGGGCACTGCAGGTTCCATAAGTTTGCTGCCTTAGCGTGCGTATATAGTCCGGCCTAGCTGTAAGATTACAGTCATGTGATTTTCAATAGTTATACCAAATTCTAACCGTGTATATGACTGTTACATCTTCACCAACCATTAATATCTTTACTAACTGTAATGTTACGGTTTATACTATTAAACTATTAATCTTTAGAACAGTTGCTAGTATACGAACGGTTAGTATACCTACGAACGGTTAGGTCCAATAAGAATAGGCGCCGAGCGGTTACTCCGCGGGGGTGCGATTGGACTTTATATATATACTATCGTTCTTCTATCTATATATACTACTAAGGTTCTCGTACCGCCGCCGCCCTTTCCGCTCCGCCAATTTTATATTTAATTTAATACTTCTCGCGCCCGTAATGTCTTCTGCTAGTGAAGCCGCTCCTGCTCCTACTCCTGCTTAGGAGACCCGGCCTGCGAGGCTAGGACTAGACGCTCCGGTAATATTAATCTATTCTATATTGTTCTTTAGCCTTTAGCCTTTAGCCTTTAAGTTTAGCCCTCAGCCTTTAAGTTTAGAATCAGAATTAGGATCAGCCTTCAAGTTTAGAATCAGAATTAGGATTAGAATTAGCCTTCAAGCCTTTATAAATCTTAGCCTTTAGGCTTACTACGGCTATGTCTAATACCTGCACCTATACACTATTTATCTATTTGATATTCCTATATACTTTTATATAAACAGGCAGTGTAGTTTAGTGGCACAGCGCACTAACTTAGGCATTTAGTACCGTAAACTCCTTAGATATTTAGTAAAGTACCTAGAAGCTCGCATTTCTCCCGGCAAATTTCCTAAACCGACTACTCTATAAGCAAATGAATTTAAGAAAGACCTTTCGAATCGTAATAAGCTCGACTATAGCATTCGGATAATGCACTTCGAGACTGCTAGTTATAAACAGAAAGATGAACTTATTAAATCGATCTATAGCAACGACATTTAGACCTCCTAGCCCCTCCTATATAGCTAGGCCTGCGGCAAATGCCTAGGATCGAGAACCTTTAAGAATGATACTATCTCTCGAGCTCGTATAAGTCCTTCTATCTTTCAGAATTCAGACTATACTGCCTATTCACCTTTTTTAGCGCTCTACCGCTATCTACTGTTTAGCTTTTGCTACTGCCGCTACTTAGCTTTTGCTACTACCGCTGCTTAGCTTTTGCTGCTGCCGCTACTTAGCTTTTGCTACTGCCGCTGCTACTGCTACTCGTGTTCTGCTGCTGCTAGTGTAGTGGCTATATACTGATTGGTATTTTAGAAATTCGTTGCCGCTTAATTTGAGCAAAATGCTTATTTAAAGTCCCTTAATAATAAGGGCACTCTTTCTTTCTTCGAGTCCCTCTTTAATAAGGATGATTTTTTTATAGTATATAGGTTTGCTATGCGTTAGTAGATCAGTAATGCTCGGTAATGCTAATAATAATACAGCTTCTATTATATGAAAGGCTATCTAGACGTCGATGCCTCTAGCTAGTAGGGCAAAGCATTCTATAGGTGTATATTCATTCAATATAAGTATACTGCTCGTATTATTCAGTATAATATAGCTAAGCTTCTTCAATATAAGCTTCGGCTTAAGCATCTGCGTCTACGTCTATCTATCTATCTATCTATTAAATCGATACCTCCGAGAGCTCCGTAAGATGTTTATATATATATACTAATAATCTGTGCTAGGGCTATTTCGATCTTTGTGCTCGAAGGTAGCGATCTGCCTTCGGGCGGATACCGATCTTCCTAGTAAGTTATACTTATTATACTAGATATAGATACTAATAAATACTTATAGGCGATAAACGATGCGCTAACGCTAACACTAAGCTTGTGCTTAGTTATAATAGCTACTCGTAAGTCAACCTTCTATAGATCGAGCATCTATATCTATTAAGCACCTACCGAGCCTTGCGGAATAATTTGCAACTAACTATATATATAGAATCGACGAAAAGTTCGATAATCTAGAGCGCTCCGACTTAAAGGAGCTAATGCTAGCAAAGCCTAGCTCTAGCGACAAGGGCCGCAAGGTATAGTTTAGTATACTAGCAGCTATATAATAGATATACTAACTATAAGGTATATAGAAGCGAGATTTCTCTGCCGCCTTAGTAGAGGCGAATAAGCTCGACTTTGCGCTACTGCCGCGCAAGCAGCGCCGCGCTACTTAATGCTTTTTTATTTTTATTTTTTATAATACTGTCTACGTAGCGCTAGGGCGCCGTTTGCTATCTGCTGTCCGCTATCTACTGTTGCTATTGCTGTTGCTATATACGCTATATACGCTTAATTTTTTTAGCATTTTTTTATATATAAAACTATAATAAATTGATAATATTAATATCTACTAACAACCCTATAGTACGCGAAAGATCGAGTAGTACTAGTAAAGCCGTATACACGCGTTAAACGCGTCTATATTCATATGCTAGACTTGCATATACGTAACGCGTTAGCGACTTCCTTTATACGCGACTGCCTTCCGTAGCAAACAAATTCAACTAGACACCTCTACCTCTACCTCTACCTCTATACTATTCGACATATATATACATACACATACCCTACACGATATTCGATACATACCTAAGATGCACCGATACTTATTTATGCTACTAGGCGCTCTGCGTCGCAGTACTAACCGACTAGCTGCGCTAAATAACTAAGGCGATACGAGTGCTTAAGCCGACACGGCTACTTAAGGCGATACGGCTGTTCCTTCGGTATTAGCACCTGCTCTAGTATCTAGTACGAAGCGCTCGCGTAACGAGGAAGATAAGGATAATAAGGAAGCTAAAGCCGTAGACCTTCCTAATATAGAGGATGTTGCTTAGAGCATCGAGTAGCCTAACGACGGCCTCGGTATATAGTTTAATAAAGCTAAGCCTATACGTCGCATAATATCTAAACTGCTAAGTCTCGACCTAGCGACTATATAGGCTAAAGACACTAGTAGCTATAATATGCCAACTACTAAGGAGGTTATCGAAATAGCTAACTACTAGATTAAGGGCGAAGAAGAAGACGAGCCCCTCGAAGTGTAGTAAGCGACTGCTATACCTAGTTAGGAGTATATCGAGGAAGATAAAGCCTAAGTACCTACTTAGACTTAACAACCGGCTAGCTTTATATTGCCGCCGCTAGAGCTAGCTTAGTTCTATAACTAGTCTCGAGTCCTAGACTAGAAAAAGGGCTACAAGGTTGCAGTAATTAAGTCCCTCGAACTCGCCTTTAGTCTTTAGCTCTAAGATATAGGTATTTCAAGGGCCGACTATTAGTCGCTGTTCTAGATCTTTGCTATACTAATTACGGATAGTATTTAGATAGCAGATCTTCCGCGCTTAGTCGACACTATTAAGTTGCATCTTAAGTTAGTTCTTCCTCTCCTCGAATTGCGCTTTTAAGAGGTCGCCTTCGAGTAGAAGAAGCTACTATCTATACTAGGAAAAGAAGCGAAGGTCTCCGAGCCGCTCTACTTCTTTAATCTACAATAGCTGTTTACGCGGATCTTAGCCTCCGATATTTAAATGTATAGTAGTCTCGCCCTCCTCGTAGACTTACTAAACGAACTTAGCTAGTCTCGGGCATAGGCGAGCTCGATTCGAATAACTTCTAGTGCCTTCGCTACGTATCTAGCTAATCCGAGCATACCTATAGCTTCTACGTCCTATACACCTAGTCTAGCTCGTAGCAAAGCGCTAAACTATATGCTACCGACTAGGAAGCGTAGTGCTAAGACAGCAAAGACTAATGCCCTAATGCTAGTACCTTCGGTTAATTAGAAGCAGTTTATCGGCAAGCTAGGCGGACCAATCTTTCTATTAGATTTCGTTTGGTTCCGTTGTAACGATGCTAATTGCTATGCCGCCAACACTACTAATTGGAGTTATATCGGCCGCGTCTTAGCTATTTGGCTCGATAACCGAACCGAGCGTAATTATACTAGTACGAAGGGGTCGACTATTATATAGGTACAGCGCCTCTATAAATTCTAATAGCTGCCTGCGGCTACGAAGCTTAAGATTCAAGACCCGGAGTAGAACGAGCTGTTTCTAATCGACACCGAGGTCTTCAGTTACTACGTCTTAGAATCCTAGGTGCGGCCTAGTAACAGCACTGTCGTAGTGCACTACCTATACCAAAGCAAGGTTAATGCCGAGGACTTGCTACCTTAGGGTACGTACGTATATATTGTTAGACGCGTTATTCTTAAGGATAGTCGAATACTTCCAATTTACTAAACACACCCTATTCGTAGCGAGTTAGAGATTATAACTTATAGCCGCTAGCACCTTATCGACACCTATGTTAAGCTAAGCAAGGTTATCTCCTTGCTATATCTTATGTTTATTAATAGATTCGGCCTCTATCGGAATATGTATCGATCGCTAATAGGTTTCTATATTATTATAGCTAGACTGTCGATATAGGAGCGTAACCGTACCTCCAATATTATTCCTTTCACTCTTAGACCTTACGGTAGCAATATAGACGATGTAGTTAATGCCTTCGCACTAGCATTGCAAGCACTAGATCGTGGTATATAGCTTAGCCTACTAGATGGCATAGAGGCTACAATCTTAGCTTTTGTTATAGTATACATTAGCGATATGCCTTAACAGCAAGAGAATTCCGGTATACTCGGACCTATATCTACTGTTTCCTATCGGTACTACTATACGACTGCTAAGGATAGAGGCAACTTAACGGTCTCGGTCTCCGATCTACGGTATTATTATGAAAACGAGCGCATTCGCTAATATATAGACAGTATCGCCGGGCAATTAGCCCGTACCTAGTTTAGCAAGTAGTACAGCATGCTACTAGACTCTATAGCACTATAAAAGATATCGCTAGCGATAGATATCATCCTTTTACGTCTATCTAATCTAGCGCACTCGGAATTCAAGGGTATAAGCTACATAATGTACACTCTCCTACTTAGTAAGATCTTAACAAATACAGCTTAACTAGTATATAGTAAGGAGCTACGTACTTTTCCTATGCTACCTAGATAGAATCGGCTTTAGTTACCGCTACATCATCTGCTTAAATACAGCCTATCCGAGCACGCTTGCTAGTCAGTCCTTATACTAGTATTGCTACGCACTTGGCTATAGGACGAGCTTATCGAGCTACAATTTGCTAAAGCTATGCGTAAAATAGTACGTAAGGGCGGCACTGCGATTAGCAACCTCTTTAGTTATATCTAGCGACAGTACCAAGCCCGGCAGCTACTAGTCTTATTAGAATTCGATGAAATCCTAGTCTCTGCCGCACTCGTCCGCAGCTTCTCGGTATTAGCACGTTCAAATATAAACCTTATATCCTAAAAGACGACGACTAAACAACGGAAGAACTACATAGCTAAGATAATTGCTATGCGGCAGGTTTTCTAGGAACTAATAGAATATAGCGCTATCGCTAATACTAAGAATCTACGAACCCGCGATCGCCGTAGTATAAGTGTAGCAAGCCAAGTTGCTAATAATTAGCAGGCGAAGGATACGAAGGGTGCCGCTAAATATCGTAGCATAGTAAAGCGGCCAAATGTCTACATTAGCTAGCACTACAACGTTACTATCGCTAAATACGCCTTAGCCGCGAATTGCAATATCCTTGCTAGCGAAGCCAAGTATAAGGAGATAAAGCAGCAAATCTATATAACTAACTATATTAACCCTAAGCGTAACCTCCTTTAGCGGCAGGGCTTAAATATAACGGTGCGTTTGCTACTATAGGGTGCTTACGTATCCGATTATCCTATACTAACAAAGCAGCTAAAAGACCTATACGATCAGAACCTACAACTCTTTAAGAGTATGTTACCTAGGTCCGAGTAGCGTCGATTTAATAGCGATATAGATAACTAGACTATGCTTAATAGTACCGAGACAATCCTTAGCGACGACGATTACCTCGGTATTGTAACTAGCGAGCGCCTTCTCGAATACTACTACAAGGAATTCCTGCTTCTACCGGTTAAGAATAATGCACTTAGCGGCTATCGAGAGCCTCTAATTGACGTATACCGATACGACTATAACCGCGAGAACTATACTCCGATAAACAAGGTTAGTATTATCCTAGCTTCAATATTTATATACTAACTACTCCGCAGGATACGATCTACTAGTATAAGCGCTTTGCATTCGACGATAAGCTAACCTAGCGCCGTATAGTCTTCCGCCGTAGCGACTTCGTCTAATATCGTAGTATAACTAATATCGGCCGGATTAATTAAATCTTTACGTACCGTACTATCCGTAGCCTCTCGCTATTCGTACGCCTTATAATAACTACGAAGGAAACACTCCGAGATGATCTACTCCTTAAGCTACTAGTCTATAAGCTTAGCAATAAGGAGATTACGGTTAGAGTAAACAGTATTAGTAGCAATAAGATCTAGATAGTGCTAGTCGTAACTAATGCGACGTAGCTACTACTTATAACAATAGGCAAGGCTTAGGATATAAGGACTAGTAATAGGGTGCTTTATGTAGATTGGGATGTTCAGTTTCTTTAAGCGGTAGACAGCGGCAGAGCGGTGGACAGCGGCAGAGCGGTAGATAGCGGCAGCGTAATAGATAGCATAGAATAGTATACCTATATAGATAATTGAACCGCTATTACCTATATACCGCTAACACCTATACACCGCTGACTACTAACAAACAGCTGACTCTTAGCAGCCGCTGATTGGTCCTAACGGTTCGCTTTATCTTAACCGTTTACGTGCTTTAACTATTCAGATTTTGCATCTATAGCTAGATATCTATAGTCTATAAGATCTAATAATTCACTTAAGACAACTGCATTTCTGCGGTCGTTGCTATTGTACTATTTAGACTGAGCAACCGCGCTTTTACGATTAAACTGCGGTTAGAGGAGAGCCCGGACCCCGCTAAGGTGGGTGGGCGCACCTCAGCGCTCGCAGTCCATCAATATTTGATTAAGCAGACATTTGGCTACCACCCACTGCACTCACCACTGCACCTCCGGTCTCTACTCCCTACTAGGTAGCCTGGGCACCAACCACTCGCCTTTTCCGAGTGCTCTGCTCTGCTTGCCCTGTCCACAGCATCGACAATGCTGTTCGACGGCGCCTCCGACAATAGCGATCCGACATAGAACCACACTCCGCCATGGCGCGCGACGCCGACGCGCACACCAAGATGGCGAAAGCCCACAGCGTCTTCGTGCGTCTGGCGCTGCCCGTCTATACCCAGCATTTCAAGAGCCCTGCATACGTCAAGGAGAGTACGCTGGACATGATGGACAATAGAGTCTCCAAGGAAGTCCTCAAGAGCACTGCGCAGAGAGCCGATGTTCGTGCGGCTATTGGCACGGATGAGAAATACTGGGCCGACCTGTCCGCTCTCTTCAAAGCTGCCATACCCAGTCTGGAGAGGAGGAGCTTCACCATCTGGGATCCGAGCAGCGTGGACTACGAGAGCACTTCTGGTGCTCTGATCGCCTCCCATCACCCCGGGCTATGGAAGGACCTTCTAAGGTTGATAGACTTGGTGTCAATTAGTCGCAGTGTACTTTTTGCGGGAGAGCATGTGCAGAATCTAGCGGCCTCATATCACATCGAGACCGAAGTGTTCCGCTTGATCAATTGCTGCGTCAGAGTCACTGCAAGAGGCTTTGACGGTGACGCTGGAACGGGCGACGAGGAGAAGTGGCAGTGGGCAGTGAATGGATACAAAAAGCTGCTCATCACCACCTTGCAATTCCTGAACAATTTTGCGGCCAAGAATGAGAGACGAAAGCTGATGCTGTGGGTGGCATTGTTCGACAACAGCTCCGATACAGTATTAGCGCCCGAGGATGTTCCTGAGACATCTTCTGGTAGTTTGACAGATGTACCATCAAACCCGACTTCCAAACCAATGCCTCCTCTCGACAAGGACGACTTCCTCCGAGCATACGGTACGGATGGCGAACGGACCATTTCACCCGATGATCGAGCACAACCACTTTGGGACAGTTTACCGTTCTCGGACCACCCAATCCCTGAGCATTCGTTGGAGGGAAGGGCGAAAATTGCACGTAAAGAGCATTTCTACGGGAATGGGTATGGACTGTTCGTGAAGCGCCTGCATCAGCTGCAGGCTGAAGACTATCGAATCGAGCGTGATCGTGAGCCGACCCTATTCGAATCGTACATGGAATTCCCGAGGCGGTGGGCCGAGCTGAATCAAGATGACCAAGATTATTGGCAAGGGTCATTTGACGATGCCATGGCAAAGTACCGACAGGATCTCGCAGTCTACGAAGCGAAGATGATCGCAGTCACGGAAACACAGACCGTCCTCAGGAGCGACGTCCCCGTGGCCGAGCAAACTCGTCAAGTAGAACGTAAGATTGCCATGCTTGAAGAGCAGCTCGCCGAGAAGTACAAGACTGAGAGTGCGCATGTAGCACCTCTTGACCCTCCTGCATACGGCAGAGATGGCCACTTGACTTTCGATAGCGCCAGCCTTCAGTCTCGGCCTGTGGTGGCAGACGATATGCGAATGCTCTTTACTGCAGAAGCCGGAACGAAAATTCTTGAATCTGGCAAAGCAGAGCTTATGAAACGTCTCGAAGGATACGACATCTCAGACTCTCCTGGCCCTACCCTTGCATCTACTAGGCCTGTGAGGACTGACGAGACGGGAAGCTCAGTCGCAAGGACTCGCAGCATGAATGACATGCCTCCTCCACGTCAACCGAACGACCCCCGGCAGACACCTGCAGTAGGACAGCAGACTGAAGAGCACTTACAAGGTCAATTGGAAGCACGACCATATTCACAGGCCCAATCGCCGGCTCAACTACCGCCAGAACTACCAAAGACGCCTGACAAACACCGCCCTTCAACAGACATGGTCGACGAGGCTTTCGCCGAGAGTAGTGTTGAAGATGACGATCTCGAGGAAAGCGAGCAGGAACAAGAAGAGGACGAGGAAGATTATCCTGGCTCGACAGAGGACGGCCGTGGACTCTTAACAGATGTCCCGCTCATTCTCGGCCCTAGCGAGATTGAGGTTCTGCCAATGCTGATCATGAGCGGCATCACACCCCCAGTTCGAACAGACCCAACACTGACTTCTGAGGAACGTAATGCACTTCTCAATATGCACACAGTGAGAACACACCTTCTCCTCTCGCAGAGCAACGGGCGTAATTTGCTCCGAGAGCTGCTCATATTTGTCGCAGCATGGGATCTGCGGGAGGAGGAGCTGTATTTCAAGTTCATGGTGAAGATCATGGAAGCCATCCTCAGGAATGGTCTCATGCCATATGCATACCACGCTTTCCGCGACAGGTCTCGGTCGAAAGACATCATTAGCCCGGCACAGGCGGTCATTATGAAGCTCTTGACTTGCATCTTTCGAGCAAGAGGTGAGTCTGCAAAGGCAGCTGTTGCAGCGAACGCGCAGAACAAAACTGCACATCACCCAATGCAACCGCCGCTACAAGCCTTGATGCAGAACGGATCATCAAAGCCGGTGCTGAACCTGCCGAACCTGCCGTCGAGAGTGGACTTACATATCCTCAACTTCATCTTCACTGAGTTTCGCCAGCATATCATCCCTCAGACGTGTGCCCTGATTTTCCTCCAAGGTCAGATTCACGCCGGTAAAGCGCAACCAGAAGACTTCCCTCTGAACCTGTGGGATATGGAACGAATGTACGAAGGCGTTTACCAGTACCTCGAATTCTTCGCGGTTTTGACGGAGGAAGGCGTCTGGAAAGGCATCTTGGGGGAGTGGGAAATGGCCAGTGAACTTGTGACGCTTCTCAGAGAACTGGAAGGTGGTATCCCAAAGGTGGGTGCGGTGATTCCTCAGATTCCGCGCCGCGTCTCAAGTCATACTCCACAAAGAGCGCTATCTGCCGATGCCGCTACAATGCATCATGCCCGCGCACCACAGCAGCCCATGCACAGCACCTCCAACCCTCCGCCTGTGGCAGCAGCGCCGCAGCCAATCGAGCCACGGCTGAAACCACCTTCGCCGGCCCCAGTGGCTATCGAGAGGCCATTTGATATTGACGAACGAGATCCAACGCTGCCTCCTCTTCCGCAACAGAGGACGAACAATTCTTTGTATGAAGCGGACACTCCATTGGCATATCCAGAGGAAGCTCAGATCCCTGTAGGCAATGATTTGCAGCACGACCAGGATGAGCCTTCCGATTTTGAATGGCGCAATCTTAAGAAGCTTACCGTGCTCGTTCTGTCATCGCTCATATGGAAGAATCGGACTGTGCAGGACCAGGTTCGCCGGTACGGTGGGTTGGAGGCACTTGTCTCGTGCTGCAGAACGGACGAACACAACCCCTACATTCGAGAGCATGCAATCATGTGCCTTCGATTCGCCGTTGAGGGCTGCGAGGAGAATGCCCGAATGATCAAAAGCATGGCAGCCCAGCAGACACAGAAAGCTCTCGAAGGCGGCAGCGTGACCCTTGGGCCGGCGGAGGATGTTCCACGAGAAGTGCTCGATGCTAATGGCTACGAGACATTCGTGGACCCTAAAGGCCAAGTCGGATTGCGCCGCAAAGAAGGTGTTTACTATCCAAGTTCACAGCATGGCCAAGTAGCGACGTCGGCAAGCAGCGGCATGTCAAATGCGGGTGTGTTGAAGCCGCGCTTGAGCTCCACAAAGCTGACCGCTGAACGTGCTGCTGAACTCATGAGTAGTGCCTTGAGCAGTCTGCCGCTTGGAGACAAACTGGTCACTGACAAGCAGAAGGCCGAGGCGCTGGCTAAGCTCGATAGAGCGTTCGAAACGACTGAAAAGGTTCTTGGACGAGGGGGAAAGGGATGAAAGTGATCATCCATACGATCACTCTTCCACATCGACTGGACGAGCATAGTCAGGCTATTAGAATCTGTCGGGTGCTTGATCGTGCTTCCCTTGTAGCATCTGAGTTCGGTATACAGACGAGATGAGTAAGAAAGAGCACGTGAGACGTGACGTGACGTGGACGACGATCGTGCCTGCCCCGCAAATCGCGCCCAAGCTCCAACTGGCAACTGCAAGCTCTTGCCTCTGTTGAGTCTGTTCCATCCGCTCCTCCTCTCAGCTGCCATTATTATTGACGCACCGGCACCCTTGATCTCGGTCACGTTACATGTACCCTTCACGCCTCATTGTCTTCCGAGTGGTTCGCGCCCCCGCACAGGTACTGAGGTACCTTTAACGCAACACGACAGCGGTAGACGGCGGTAGACAGCGGTCAGGCGGGAGGAGAAGGAGAAACAAGCAAGCAAGCAAGCAAGCAAGCCAGCCAGCCAGCCAGCCAACCATCGGCAGCAGCAGCAGCAAATAACGTGCGAGCTGGCCTCTGAACCGCCTCCTCCTCCTCCTCGTATTACCGCGGAATCGTGTCGTAGCTATAGCTGGCTCCCAACGAGACCTGCCTGCTTCAAGTTCCTCCCTACACCTACCTGTTCCTAGCAACGAACGTGACCTTGACACATTACTACCTGACTTCTGTCCCTGCCCAATCAGCTATCCATCCAAATACCACCATTCAGCACCGCTGCTGGGAACTGTGGACGTGGGGCGTCGCTCGCTCGGCTTGACCGTGAGGCAGTTCATCACATGTGAGTAACGCGGGTGCCATCGGGTCCTCAACCCCGTTGTATTTCGTCCAGGCCAATGTCGCGTCCAAGTTCGGTAATGGCGACGCAAGAGCCAGCATTGCGGGCAATCTGCTCTTCTTCACGTCGCAGAATAACTGCCAACTGCACAACGTACAACCCGTTCTAATCGGCACAGTGGTATAGATAGACCGCCTCCCTGCTTCTCTCCACATACAAACGCAGCAGATCACCACTTCATCACACGCAGCCATGAGCTCGATCGTGGAGGCTGCAAAGCGCAAGGCCGAGGGAGCTTTGACAGCAGCCAAGGGCGCGGCAGAAGAAGCACCGGCAGCGGTGCAGAAGGCAAGAGAGAATCCGGAGAAAGCGAAGAATGATTTCCTGCACTCACCATTAATGCGAGTAGCTCTACCATTCATCAATGGAGGAGCTGCAGGCATGGTCGCAACGTCGGTGATCCAGCCGATTGATATGATCAAGGTGCGCCTGCAGTTAGCCGGCGAGGGTGTCAAGACTGGGCCAAAGCCCACGCCTATGTCGGTCACGCGGGAACTCGTTGCTGCTGGAAAGGTCATGGATCTGTACACTGGTCTGTCGGCAGGCCTGCTGCGCCAAGCGGTGTACACCACAGCACGCCTGGGCTTCTTCGACACCTTTATGAAGGCTCTCTCAGCACGTGCAGAAGAGCAAGGAACGAAGATCGGGTTCAAAGAGCGTGCCGCCGCCGGTCTGAGTGCTGGCGGTCTTGCCGCATTCGTGGGCAACCCGGCAGATCTGGCACTCATTCGGATGCAGAGTGACGGACTCAAGCCCAAGGCAGACCGAGCCAACTACAAAGGCGTGGGTGACGCTCTCATGCGGATATCCAAGAACGAGGGCGTCGCTCGTCTATGGGCAGGAGCCAGCCCGACTGTTGTCCGGGCCATGGCGCTCAATTTCGGACAGCTCGCATTCTTCTCAGAGGCCAAGTCTCAGCTCAAGGACAGCTCCATGGGTCCTCGAGCACAGACCTTGACGGCATCCGCCATTGCTGGCTTTTTCGCATCTTTCTTCTCCTTGCCCTTCGACTTCGTCAAGACTCGTCTGCAAAAGCAATCGCGTGGACCAGATGGCAAACTCCCGTACAACGGTTTCCTCGACTGCTTCCAAAAGGTCATCCGAGAAGAAGGCCCACTGCGATTCTACCGCGGATTCTCGACATATTATGTGCGCATTGCACCACACGCGTACGTATCGTTTCCCATATGCACAGGACGAGGCTGACATGATTGACTAGCATGATTACTCTCATCGTCGCTGATTACCTTAATTTCATTACGAAGTAGTAGAGTCGTCCTTGGATGATTGCGGTGCAATTTGGTGGGTCGGTATAGGAAGACTTGTTTGTGGGACGGGGGGACCAGACATCGTTCGAAGAGCGAAGAGCGGCAGCGGTAAAAGAGATATCATGCCCGAAGATTCGTACAGAGAGCACCATATCCAGGGATCCGCGCGGCGGTGCATTGCATGCCATGCGCGTACGGGGCGCCAGCATCGTTGTAGTAGTTGTAGTCGCTGTAGATAGCCCACGCAAGAGTGCAGAGTGCAGTCGGCGCACGTGAAAATCCAGAAGCGAAGGTTCGGTCGGCATCGGCTTGCCCTCGCCGAACTTGCCAAATCGAGCCCGTCGCGTCGCGTCGCGTCGCGTCCCGTGGTGTCAAGCTCCACCGTGAAGTCCGACTTAGTGCACTGCTGAACATCATACACTTCAATTCTTGCTGCCAAGTCGCCATGTCGGCAAGAGTGCGGCACTCCACGGCCACTCCAGGCCCATCGAGTCGAGGTGCGTCCGCAGCCGCGGGCACAGGCACAAGCATAGCGGCGCCAGAGTACCAACCACCCGCCTTCCCACTCAATCCCGCCGCCCAGCGCGCTCTGAGCAGTCTGCTCCAGAAGCACACCACCAGGAGGTTCGAAGAACACATCGCCAGCGCGCAGACTGAGCTCAGCACCGTGGTTGGAGACATATATGATGCATTGAATCCCAAGAGCGAAGCAGTCGCCAAGCGACGACAGCGATTCGACCAGGGCAGAGAAGACGATGAGGACGCGCTCAAGGCGCAGGAGGCGGAGCTCGAACGCCTGCGAGAAAAGGCCAAGCAGATGCATGAGCGCATGGAGGAGCAGATGCGGAAGCTTGTTGATGCGGAGGCTGGCGTGGCAAGCATGCGTCAGGCGGTAGGTGCAGCTGAACGCGATGCGCGCGAGAATGCCAGTACGCAGGCGAGCACGCAGCAAGGCCGTGCCCTGCGAAGCCGACGCGCGCATGGTGACCAAGACGACGACGATGACGACGAGGAAGACGACGACCATGAAGAGATGCCTGACTTCACGCCCACCGATCCTGCCGGAGGTACACAACCTCCAACTGCGCCCAAGCATGCCTTCCGAAAGCATCTCGAAACCTCACAGCTACGATGGCAAGGCCAGTCGCTTACCGACAGGTACGCTTCGAACAAGCAATATGCCGATTTCAAGCGCCTTCTACACGACGCCCTCTACCCAGACGACGACGTTGAGTTGGCCCCACCAGATCGATGGTTCGATGAAGGAGGCCGTCCAGCCCCCGGTATGACGACTCTCACGCAGAACGAAGAGGACTCTGACGACGATATTGCCGTGGAGAGAACGACCATTAGCATTAGGTGTCCGCTAACTCTGCGAGAGTTTGAAACTCCGTGGACATCCAAGAAGTGCCCACATACGTTTGAAAAGGATGCAATTCTGAACATGATCCAAGACTCTTCCTTGGCCAACGCACAACGCCAGAAATACGTACAATGCCCCTACGGAGGATGCCAACAGCAGCTGACAAAAAATGACGTGGACAAAGACCCAGTGATGACTCGCAAGATCAAGCGTATTCAGGCTGCGCGGAGGGCCGCTGAAGAAGAGGAAGATGATGGCGACGGAGGTCAAAACGAACGGGATGGCACTCAACGTAGAGGCCACATAATTGACAGTGATGCGCTGGACATAGACGAGACAGACCACGCACCGCCAGAAAGAATGAAGACCGAACCAAAATCTTCAAGGCTGCGTATCGCTAGGCGGGGTCAATCTAGCGGTCCGCCACGGCCCAGTCAGGTCATCGACATGGGTGACGACTCTGACGAAGAAGATGAGGATTAATAAGTGGACTAGGCTTGACGAATGAACAAATGCAAGCCTTCTGGTTGTCTCTACAGATGCGGAAGTAGATGCAAGGTCTGCTCAGTTGGGCAAGGCTAGGTTATGAGAATCTCTTCAGATCCATGCCATCGGCTCAGCCTTGTCCAGCGAGTCCTGATGGTTTGTTCTGGTGTGCTTCCTCTCATTGAGACCCCCAGAGTCGTCCTGAGCCGTGGCCCAAGTGAGTTCAGCAAAGGGACTTCTCCTCCGCACCGACGCTCCAAACACGCCAAACAATGCTGCAATGCCGCAGTATGCCGTAGCAAGTCCCGCGAGTATGAACAAAGCGCTGTTATTGCCCAAACCCTACGCTTCAATGTCAGTAGAGCTTCACCGTGCCGCAATCGTCGTTGGACTGACCTTGAACATCTGAGTTCCGAACAACGGAAATGTGCCCGACATTGTTGCGCGTAGGAAGGCCATGGGTGCATTTGCAGAGGCAGCATAAGTCGCATACACGTCCGTGAGATATCCAGACAACACGCAATCAAACTCAACGACCGCAAAGCCAAAGAAAGAAAGTGAGGCGATCGAGACCCATGCCGAAACGCCTTCGACGAGAGGAGGAACGGACCAGGCGAACCACCACAAGCCGATCGCCAACATCGGAGCTGCGATATAAAAGCCGAATAGCTTGTCTTCAGGCTCGATAGTCTGGTTCCGCTTGAGACGCTTGTTCGTGATATGGGTGTCGTATAGTCGGGGCAAAATGCTGAAGATGACTCCGGCACCTGTATAGGAGACGCGGCATTAGCGTGGCTTGTTCATTAACAAACCCCTCTAGCTCGATTCGCCTAGACTTCATTGCCAACGGCCCTCCTGAAGCTCAAACGGAGCCGCTGCCTACGACTGCAGTTACAGTACGTGGTAGAATGACGGCGCGGTTTGAAGCGATTGGCTTCACGAGCGACGGCTAGGCAATATGCACTTACCGATTAATAGAAACACTAATGATGCTTGTCGATGGTCGAAGCCATAGCTAACCACGTAGATATGTGAAAGTGCTTCAGAGAAAAGGTAGCTTACGCCATAGACCTGATATTCGAAGACAAGATGTTGTCAGTTCTCGACTTTTTGGTTTTCTGGTAGAGTTTGACTACCGTAGCTGCCATGATTGACGTCAGAAAGACAATAGGCTCTGTGAAGAAAAGGCGGAGCGGCATGAGCAATGCGTCGCGAAAGAAAGCTCTCGTGCTCGGTGGACAATCTCTGTCATGGATGCTGAGATCCGAGCAGCTGGTCTGTCGAGAAACAACTTTGACTTTCTCTCGGAGAAGCTGGGACGGTCGTGATTCCTGCATTGCTAGACAGAGAAGTGCAAAGATGAAGGTGATCACTGTGGAGGCGTAGAAGATCCAAGGCCTTTAAACATGTCAGAGATGGCAGGAGAGCAACTTTGGATGCACATACCATCCGTATTCAGAGGTCGCGATATATGTTGCTGTAGGAGGACCGAGAGCCAGACCAAGGACCTAATTTTTCCAAGATTAGAAGTTGCATTGTAGTACTTCAAGGAGTGCGGAATACATGACCTACTGCTGCAGCGATCCAAAGATAAATGAGCCAGGTACGGGCTTGAATAGCCCACATGTTCTCGATAGAACCGGTTGCAACGACCGCGGGCATGGCTGACATGGCTCCCGAGAACAAGCGACCGATCACGATCACCGGAAGTGTTGGCCATGCAGCCATCAATAGGCAAGCCATGGCGAATCCAAAAGTGGAGCTGACATATATCGTCCTGCCGCCGAAAGATTCACAGATCGGTGGAAAGATTAGGCCACCAAAAGCCTGTCCGAGAAGATATACTGTCGTGAAGCAGAAAAGTGCTGTTTGGCGTGATACTCGAAGTTGATCACTTGCTTCGAGGGCTATTGAGGAGCCGGTGTTGCTGATTAGTGTCATGAAGAACTCGAGAATAATGATAATGGAGGAGTCGTAGGCTTTCCGGAGGAATGGCCAGTGTCGTGGATGATTTTGATGTCCTGTCTGCCAAGTGACGACGCCAGAGGAGTCTGCCGTGAAACCATATTTGTCTAGAGCTTCGTGAACATGAGCTGGAAGCGTCCTTTGTGGTGGGCCAGAGTCGCCACTTGACACTGAGAATTCCGACACAGACCGAGGAGTTGATGATGTTGAGACTTGTGGCAATGACTGGATACGGCCATGTGGAAGCGCCTGCATATTGCTGTAGTATTTACGAGGCCTCTATGCTTTCAGCATGAGGTTGCCGGTATTGGTTCTGTCGCTGGGCGGGCGAGTACTATATCAGGCTGGGACCATCGCTACTGGGCATCGCGCTCTCCTTGATGAATGTCATCGGGCGACGCTCCTTAGGACGAAGCAACTCGGAAATTTGTGTTTCTCATCAGCAAACACCAGTCGCCGCGCCCGTATCGGCCTGACAATAGCGTTCGTCTCACGAACAGGCCACCCAGCCGTAGCAATGGGCAACCATTTGACGCATCACGCATATCCGATCAACGATCCCCGTCAGGATGAGGACGTCACGCAGGCTCCCGCACGAGCCCAGTTTGCATTCCGCTCCTTGATAAGGATTCTTGAGCCAAGTGACGTCCGCTAGCCGAGAAGAAGGTAGATGACAGACGCCGATGATTGCTCGTCGTCGGCTCCTGCCATGGTCCTGGGACGTCAACTTTTGTGGAATGTTGAAGAACACGGGGAAGTCGATCCGCAGGAATGCTGAATGCCGTCTTCACCATCAAGAAGATGTTTTCAGTACAGGTCCGTCATAAATTCGACGCCCTCGTGTTCATAATCGGAGCTGAGAAAGAGGTGAAGGGGACGGCCAACCTCGTGGAGGCCATAGGAATTCGAGATCGAGTGGTATTTGTCATGGATTGAGTGTCCTACGATCAGATTTGTCTGTTCTTGGATCTTGTCATGAGCTGTCGGTACACCCGGCGTTGTTGTTCCGGGTTGAATAATAATGGCAGTTTTACGCTATCTATGCCACCTTCACGACGACCTTGCCGAAATGACTCCCAGAATAGAGGTACTTGATAGCGTCCTTCGCCTGATCGAAGGTGAAGACTTTGTCAATCACCGGATGGATCTGCTTCTGCGCGTAGAACTCGACCATTTCCTCAAATCGTTCACGCGGTCCATTGATGACCCCTTTCAATGTGACATTCCGACGGAGGGCCAATACATTCGTGTGAAGACTGGCTCCTGATGAATCCTCTTTCCCGGACAGGTAGCCGATGGCAACGATGATGCCACCGAATGCGACGCAGTCAAAGCTCTTTCGAAGTGTCTGGGCGCCACCAGTTTCGAAAATGATGTCCGCACCCTCGTTGTTCGTGAGCCGCATGACCTCATCTTGCCATTGGGGAGCAGACTTGTAGTTGATGCCATGATCAGCACCGCTGTAGAGGAAGTCAGGTTGACAGGTTTGGAAAAGCTGGGGCACGTTCGTTTGAAGCACGTACAGTTTGGAGGCTTGCTGGAGCTTCGTGTCCGATGAACTGGTCACGATGGTCTTCAGGCCAGCAGCGTGGGCGATTTGGAGGCCTGCAATCGACACCCCACCGGTGCCTTGCAACAGAACGGTCTTGCCGCTGCTTACTGGCTGTCCAATAGGTCGAAAGCCATTGATGGCCATCCATGCAGTCACAGATGCGATTGGCAAGCACGACGCTTCTTCGTCTGTCATGTAATCTGGGACGGCCACGAGCGCCTCCGCCGGGAAGCAGCGATACTCGCTCAGGCAGCCCTGCAGGGGCAGACCGCTGGCACAAACAAGACTCGGTCAGCAGCAGTTCTGTTCGCAGCTTCTTGGGAGTCCTTACAGCCCAGACGCCATGTCCTTCTCCTTGATCTGTCCAACGAGATGGGTCTGGTTGAAGATGGCCATAACGCGCTGCCCTTCTTTCCACTGGCCGCCTGGCCTGACGACCGTTCCACATATGTCCGAACTAGAGCACGACGACTTGGGCGTCAGCGACTTTCTCAATTTCTGGAGGGGTTCGCATGCATGTCTTGGGTCTCACCACGGCACGAGATCTTCAGCCCGGCCGATGGACTGGTGATGGTTGTAGAGCCCCATGATCACCTCCGTGTCTCTGTAATTGATCGAGACGGCGTTGATTTTGACGAGAACTTGGCCGTCTTTGGGTTCTGGCATGGGGCCGGTTGTACATCGCAGGTTGTCAAGCCCGTCTTGCCGGGTCACCCATTTCTTGACTTCTGCCATGGTGTTTCGCTTGCTTCGGTGAACGCGAGAGAAGACATAGCTCTCACGTCGAGATGATGGCCTATCGTGGCCGTCGACAGGGAAGTATTCGTCTGTACTTTGGCCGAGGAAAGTCCGCCACGTGAACGGAGCCGTGTGTGCTAGCCATACTAGTATATATTAGGCATATAGGATAGGCGAAGACCTATAATATGCTTAGCCTATCTCTAGGCTGTTATCCGCGTATTATATAACTCCTCTATATATATAACTATATATACTACTATAGTTTTCTAAAAGGTTAAGAATACTAAGAAGCTAGGTTCGTAACCCTCGTAGATCTTAAAGATTAGACTTCTTTATACCTTTAAGTACGATAATGCCTATATAAGGTCTTACCGCTATTAAATCTAGCCTCTTATAATATCTTATTATACGTAACTACCGCTAGAAGTCGCTATTCTTATTACTACGTTAATAGCGACTAATCTCTAGCGCCTATATCTCGAATACTACGCTATAGCGGAGGCACGCGCGTCTCGCTCGCGGAAGCTAGTTTCGAAGGACCTACCGGCGTATAAGGAGGCTACTAAGCGGCGTAAGTCGCTTAGTAAAAAGAAAAGTAAGAAGAAGGTCGAATAGCGGCGTAGTAGTAGAAAGTAGAAGACG